GTGATTTCAGCCCATCGAATTTGTTGATGAATGCGAGGATCGAGTACCGACCCATAATGATAGGTGCTTGTTAATTAATACTGTTATTATTACTTATTATGATCAATAGTCATGAACCTTAAATATATTCTTCTATTGTATCGATTGTTTTGACGGTTTTACACGAACAACTCTCTGTATTGTACCAGTTCTAACTACATAAAACTCATGACTATTATTTTGAGTTGACAAAGTATTTAATATAGACACCTACCTACCTATATATCGTTATTTGTCAGGGTGATGTCAACTCACTATTTGTTGTCTCTCTCTGCCCCTGCCCCAACACAGAAAATTTGAGTTCAGCAGAACCAAAATTGTGTTGATAGTTTTACATGGATAATGAATGAGGCCTATCATCAAGCTTAAAGTTAAGAATATTATCTATTTATTTGTGTTTGTAGGCTGGTATTTATTTTTTTTTTAAATTTTTTTCAAGTTGTGATTAAGTTTGAATTATACAATTCTACAATTTAAAAATACTCGTAAAATATCGCTTTAAAATTGAAATATTGAAAAAACGCCGAAGTACAGAGACACAGATAATGTTCTAATAGGTTAATTCTCTCAAAGCTAACAACACAAGGTTAATATAGTGTTTTCCTGAACGCAAATTTCATATATTGGGCGTGGGTCAGAGAGAGAGAGAGATAACAAATAGTGCGCAGACATCCTAATTACTTTTACCTTCGAGAATATTTACAAGATAAAAATCAATATCAAACATATTTCAACAGGATAACTATTGGACAACGCACGTTAAGTAAAATAACAAGTTTCTAAGAAATGTTTAAAATGAAATGAATGCAGGTAACTCGCCTAATTTTATATAAATGTTAAAACACAATAATAATAACAATAAGTCAAATGTAGAATTGACAACATATTATTAAGTAATTCTATACGTTTTTACTGTAGAATCGTAATTTAATAATGAGCGGACTTTTCCGTTTCCGTAATCGTGTGAATTTCAAGTTTTTAAAAGAACACATTTACAAATTGAAATTTTTTAATCTATACAGAGGATCTATTATACTATATAAAGTATACTACACATTTATTCAATATACCTATTACTTACCACTTAATATAATACTTGGCCAAAAATACTTCCTTTAAGAAAACGAGTATTAACTACTATAATAGGTAGGTATTTATGTTTTCGATTGTTGAATGTTTTTTTTTTGTTTGAAAGATGTATCTAAATTATTTTTAAACCGTGTAACGTAAAAACATCGTGCCGAAATATTTTTCAAGTTCAAATACATCATTAACTGCAAAACGGATTTATTATGGCGTCCACACACGAGGAAGTTGGAAATTGTTTTGTTTGCGCGATTTGAACGGCGGAGTTATAAGTACTTCTTTTAATTTACTGCCGAGCTTAGAATTTTCGAGGTTCATTTTTACACCATTAGGTTGCAGTTTTTGGTCACTTCATAAGAACAATTTTGAGGTTATAGAGTCGGTTTTGATTTTATGTTAACAAGCTGCTTCTAATGATTTCTACGAATAACATAATATTATAGTATAAAAACATGTTATACTCACTATCGACATAGCGAAAGTGTGCCTGGAATCCATCGCTTCACACTGTCATTAATTATTTTTTTATTGGCCCCGAATAGTTTGTATCTCGATTTGCTAATTCATATTAGCTTAATCAACACGTAGCTATACCTAAACTTTAAAGAATATACACGTGTTTTGTTTACCCATGTCGTACACTTTTAAAACGCGTATACGTAAAAAATAATATTTGTCGGTTAAACTTGTTTTATGCGCTTATGGTTACTGACCGTTACTATTACGGTTCAAACCGAAGAGTGCAACCTGCAGGTCCAAGTCCAAGCTTATTAGACCATACACAGAGCACACCGCTTTCACTAGGATTAAATAAAATAAGAATTACGTACAAAAGAAAAACTTGGCGAAACATAATAAATATTGCAATAAAAATATGCACGGGACCTTGGAAATACGTTGTATATTTGAATACGGCTGTAAACATATAGGAATAACGTGTGTGTATCGTGTGAACTGTGAATTAATAATAAACATTATGCTTGTTGTTCCATACACGTTTTTGCCGACAAGTAGGTATATTACTTATAAGTTATGTGTATAGATATTAAGATATCTATGTCATAATACAATAGTTTAAAAATGTACGTATAACGTATTACTTAGCACGAATACTTTTAATTTTAAATTTCGTGATTGTTAAATTGTTCTTTTCGTAAATTGGAAACTTATATACGATGAAAATGACGATAACCTGTATGGCTGTACCTATTATTCAATAATATTTTACCAACCACATTATGTTCATCTAGTAATTAATCAAAAATGCTCGTCCATAACGATTTTTTAAAAATATTTTAAGAACTACCCACGATCATTCTAAGGATTTTAATTAAAACGTCGATTAATAATAATATATATTATAATATACAAATAGTTTAATAACAAGAATCTTATAATGTAACCAGTCATTAGCACAGCTAGTCTTTAAAAAAGTGGTGCTTAACTGCTTGAGGTGAGATCAAAGAGATGATAGCCAAAATGAGATGTGTATACATATTATGTAATTTTAATAACTCTAATGAGTTTAATAACTATAACACGTCAAAGCTCAAGGAACTAAACTTTATAAATAGGTATAAACCAATAATATATGATATCGAATAGGCAGTATTTAACTAATTAAATGCGGTATTTTTGGTTGATCGGATGCTTGTATAAATGTTTTTTTGTAAATATGTAGTGCTTGTGGGCAGATGCATGAATTTAAAAAAAAAATAGTTCTGGTCTAGTGGTCTGTACAATAATACTGTAAGTCATTTTAAAACAAAAAACAAGCGATATTTCTAGTTGAAATTCAGCAGTTAGTAACTTTGCCGACAGACCGATGCCATCAAACTACTATGAATAATTTGCTTACCTTTACCTCTAATATTTAGAGTTTGGAAACATTAAGTAAACAGGTAGTTGTTGGTTCACCGCGTCAACAATATTATCGTAAGCACTCCGCAAATTAGGGTAAGTAATTACCAGCACCTAACTTACTCGTGATTGGTATAAAACTATAACATGCATTTGCCTACATGAAATACGAATTTCAGTGTGAACTATCAAGCGAGGAATAATATTGATATATTATATTAAGTTCCGTATACTATTATTCATAAGTATTTGTACGATTGTACGAATAAGTTGTAAGACGAATTATTGTGTATAATATTCACGAACATCCATCTCCGCGGCTGTCGCTGATGTCGATATCGTGTCATTTACCCGCACAATGTGTACATATATTCATGATAATAATATACAATATTATGACGTGTTAAATTTTTTGCGGGACATGTTGACTCACCCAAAAATATCGTCTAGAAAGCTATATGGCACGTGAGAAAAATATTAAGCCGCCATTAAAATATCCTCTAGATGTGGCTGAATAGTGCCTTACAAATTCATAAAACCTTAGATTGCGACTGTTTAACTATTTGTTCCCACAATTATTATGGTAGGTATAGCTAGGTACTTGCAAACGACCCGAACAACGTTTTGGACGATAATTTGACAACATTGAATTTAAACGTTCTGAATGACGTCATCACATATCTCTCTAACGGTGGTTTGATAACAATATTATTAACAGTAACAATGATAAAAAGAGGAAGTTCAAAAACTAACCATAATTTCTGGTGCACAGTTTAAAATAATTCTAAGTAATGATGTAATATTATAAATATGTTGGTAGTCGAATCGTTTTATATTTTCGACTATATACAAATTGAAATATTACCTATACATGTTTATATTCGTTATCATTTCACGGTACACCAATATTTGCAGGTTGCTGCAACTTTTTATAATAATATATTTGTCTATGCAAACTACATGATTCGTCATGAGGACACTTATAATGTGCGCTCGGTGTCGGTGAAATCTGCAGAGATACTTAGTTAGGTACTTATTATTTTTAACAACGTTACGGTGTGATATACTGATTGTTTTAGGTACATACGTACGTACCTAAGCACATTAATTCAATTTCTATAACAATAGTAAATCGACTTGAACGTTTTTCGGGACAGGGGCAGTGTATTATACCACCTGTATTATAGTATATAGAGACCTTTTCTGTTATACAACTCTAAGGAAATATTCAAACTTCCATGGTATATTATTTATATTTGTAATGATACGAAAATATGTTTTTAGTTTTGCTATAAAAATAAATTAAAATATCCATTAAAATCGTCATAACCGGCTTGTCGACACCATCTGATCCACTAGTGCTTCCGGCGGTCGACATAACTTATACATAATATTTTATTTCAACTAAAATCAGTTACTCATCCCGATATTATAATATTATCACAATGTAATTATTATATCATAGTGTTTTTTCAATATCTAAATTCTAAAATTATAATATGTATAATACGAACGAACGAGTGACAATAATTATTTTACACCGACAAATAAACTGACATTTCCATCGTAGTATATTATGCCTGTCCTAATGTATTATACATAATATGCGAATCGCCTTTCATTATTATTTAATTTTTTCGTTAAATACGTTTGTCTCCTTTCTCTGCGTGCATACACTACACGTCTGATGCAACAAAAATAATATTTTATCGCCAACGTTTAAATGACACATAAGAATTCCGTATGGTTATTATGAAGTAATTAAGGAGCGTGCAGACATTTTATCCTTCGCTGAATCTTGCTGAAGTCTTAGTTTCATGTGATTTCATCACGCTTTTGGGAACGTTTTATTAGGGACCCTATTATTATATTATTACCATTTTATATTGTATGTTTTTGAATAACAGATCAATGAATGGAATACTGATTTGAAAATAATTTTCTTAGCAGACCAAACGGCAGTGTACCTGGCCATGTATAATAATAGCTGTTTTTTTTATTTTGTGTTTGTACAGATTAGAATACATTTTATTATCGCAATATTCATTTTGTTCGAGTCGTGGACCGCTGCTATTGACATTCCCTATGAAGATCTCAACAACCCATATAAGTAAGCAACTATTTTTTTGTACGGATAATGAATTTAAATATTACCTATTTAACACGTAGTTTAGATATGAATTATGAACAGTAATATTATTATTTTTTTATTTATCGTAACTTACGGGTGTTGAGTTTTGAACTCTTGAACATAATATTTATGTAATATGGTTATAACACAATAATACATTAATATGCCTGTGTCTTATTATGTGTTTTGATAAAAATATAATTTATTTATAATTGTTATTTTATTTAGTCAAATATTTTAGAATTATGTTATATCTATTTTTTTTAAATTATGTAAGCAGACATCATAGATAAGTGTAATTTTCCTTAATAAAATTAGTATAAAAATATTAATTTTAACGTTGAAACTCTAGAACAATGGTAATAATATTTATTTGCACGCCAAATGTAATTTATTGTAACTTCGAGTAGGGAATTATATCATTGTTTTTAATGTAATTAACACATAAATCTTATTAAAAATTGTTTTATTTTATATTGTTACTTATTTTCTGATGTAATATTATATAACCTAATGGCTAATGAAAAAATTGTTAATACTAAATATTTATAAGTGTTATACCTATGGAAGGTACTGGAACGTAATATTTTATGATTGCAGTAGATACCTCACTAACCTACCTTTGGTATTATTGTATTACGTCCTGAATTCTTCAATTATTGTTACTAGCTAATCCGTGATAAAAATAAATGTTTGTTGTAACCTCTGAGATCATAACTTATGAGTAATGTCTTAAATATTTTTGTTTGCCATTGTCATTTTTTCTGAACTATTTTTGTGCTTGAAATTACCATTTTTAATGGAGTATATTTCGTAGACACAACACCAAAAAAATTGCTGAAATCCGTCGGAGTTTTGATTTATTTGAAGACGCAACTCTTTCTAATGAATTCTTGGACTGAAATCTACGTTACATATTTTATTAAGAAATGTGGATATCATAGCTCGTCTAGGAAAAAATTTAACTACTTCGACTTAAGACTTTAATTTAAATAATCACGAGCAATGTTCTTACGTATATGATAAGTGACATAAATCAATATTGGTTTAAGTCATACATATAATAAGTACATATTTCGAAAATTACCAAACAATGGAAATCTCTCTATTTATTAGTTACCGTAATATAAGGCATTTGAGTTATATGACATTGTAAAAGAAAAAGATTAAAAGGTGTATTTCGTTTGTCTGTGTTTAATAACAACAAATTATTTTTGGATGTCTCATTACTTATATAATACGCTTAAAATTAACTTTATTATATTAATTTCATTATGTTTTTGTTTGCTATTTTGCTAGAGCTTTAATTTTAATTGTAATTTAAGTAACAAGTATTGGTGCAATGTTGACGTATGTAATAATGTAATATATTTTAAAATGTCTAACATGTTCCTAATAAATTAGGTGTCAATGATTATCTAAGTGTGTTAGACTTAATATATTATATGTTGTATTAAATAGGTACCTAACTGTTTTTGTTATTTATTGTATGTATGTTAATTATTAATAACATCAATTAAAATTGTAAAATTTTTATTTATTTGAACATTTTCAAATCATTCTATCGAATACCTAGAGTATACTTATGTCAGTTATGTGTACATGTTAGAACTGTATGACCGTCAGTCATGAATCAGTTGCATTAGGTACTGCATATTTATGCGTTCGATAAAATAAAAATCATTTCCGATGAAATTACATTGTATACATATATATATATATAGGTTATATATATAAACAATTTAAAAATAAGACGTAAAATAACCGAATTTGTTTTGTTTTTTTTACATTTACTAACATTATAATTAGGTGACAAAAACAATATTGTATAAAATGCACAATTCTATAGTGGAGAAAAAATATCATTCAAATATTAACTCATCATCACATCAGTTAATTATGGAATGAGGTTAAAAGTTTAGCAAAATATCTACTACACAGCCCACGCTTATTGAAAAGACCCTTGGAATTTTAATTTATAGTATTGTGTACACACAGGTTAATACTGTAGTGCATCATCTTCTTATTTTTCATGTTGTGTGTAGGTTTTCACACATTCTAATGAGTGCAATAACCGTATTACTCGCCGATTTTATAATATTACACTTACATGCGCTTACATAATATTATAATAAGATAATCGATTAAATGTTGGATTTAAATATCCTAAGTGGATGAAACACAGCAGAGACCCATTGTTTTCTCTGCTGATTGTTATCCCACGTGCGAGTCGTGGCTAAAAATCACGTTTTGTGTTTCAAAAACTATACGAGGTCAACATTTGGGAGACAACCCAAACACAGTTCAAGCGTACCTACGTGCTTCGTTTATTTGTTATTGTTTTTAGAGTATCATTTAACTATGTACACACTGTTATTTTGGACACTGTATATAATATATATATATATATAACTCTCAATAGTTAATTTTTTGACGTATTGCATTGACGCATTGTATCTCTAGGTATATTGAACGACTGTGTCTTAAAAAAATTGATAATTAATTCGTGTGACATGAAAAAATTACTTCATTTTATAACTTTAACGATTTTTCGCAATTCGCATATCAATTACCGTAATTATTTAATCATCCATAATATATAGTGAACCAAAATACTTCAAGCCACGCAGTGAAACTCGGCAGATCCGAAAATATCGATTTTCACAGTACGGCTTTTCACATATAAACGCGTAGGTACTCTGCAGTTCGGACGAAACCTAACAGATGGGTTACGGACCTTAAAAAATTACAATCGAAATTTGGATCACTCTATACGTGTTGTCATTAAAAATAGAACCACCTCAACGAATCGTTTTTTTTAAATTTTATGTTGTGTGTCCGAGCAGTTACGATTTTTCACTTAATTTTTCGACAAGTTTCGACAAGTTCCGATTTCAGTGCATTTTGGAAATTAAAATAATTTAATTTTTTAATAACATAACGATGGTATTGCTTTCAGGTTTTGCCCTCCGCGGTCCAGTTGCGCAGGAGTTGACCAGAAAGTGGCAGCATCGGAAGTGCAAGACAATGACGACGGCATGGGCGGACTACGGCGAAACTGTCTGTGCGACGACCTTTGCGGCGAGTACGGCGACTGTTGCACCGATTCGACACACTTTGACCCCGTGGAACAGCAGAGCGCCGCTGCTAGATACGGTTGCGTGCCCACAGACGGAATCGGTGGCGCGTACGTCGTGAACAGGTGTCCGGCCACGTGGACGAACACGAGGGTGCGGGACGCGTGTCATGCGGTCACCGCGGACCGCGAAGGCATGCTCGGTAATCCCGTGACAAGCCGGACGACGGGACACTCGTACCAGAACCGGTTCTGCGCAGTGTGCAACGGCGATGCGGCAGACCCGATCCTTTGGGACACGCGGATCGTTTGCAATACACTTCTCGGCGTGGCCGCGGGCGCCGAACAAGCGGTGCTCAACACGCTCCGGTACGACGCGGCCGCTGGCCGATGGGTGGTCAAGTACATCGGTGACACGTACGATTGCGACCAGATCGTAGTGGCGCCGGCCACGACCCGTGTCCGGAAGTGTTTACCGAATGCCGTGGTCACGTGTCATCCCAAGTGGCCGAACGACGAGATCCGGTCCAATTGCGAGGCGTACACCACAGTGATGTACTACGACGACCGGCCGTACAAGAACATACACTGCGCCATATGCAACCACGTGCTCGTGCAGAACGTCACCTGCCAGTTCTCCAGCATTCACGTGAGGTTTCCCAACCAGTTCGCGGTCCGCAGCTTCACCGCGCTGTTCGTCGCGCAACCCGGCCACCGCGAGTGCCGCGGCTCGGACAAGTTCTACGACCCGTTCAGCAAGACATGCCAGTCGCTGCGGACGTCGGTGGCCGGCGACGGCGTGCAGCTCAACTGTTCCGTCGTGGCCATGTACCCGTCACCGGCCGAAGGCTGGCGGCCGCCCAACGCCGGCGCCGAGTATGTGACGCTAGAAAACGGCACGATGGCCGTGTGCATGGACGCCGATCAGCAGGTCACCGGCGAAACGCTCAGGTATGTGGTGCTCACTTACGTGGGTCTGGGCGTGTCCGCGGTGTTGCTGATCGTGCACCTGGCCGTGTTCGCCGTGCTGCCCGAGATAAAGAACCTGTCCAGCAAGAACCTGGCGTCGTTTTGTGTGTCGCTCTTGTGCTCGTACGCCGCGTTCGTCGCCGGAAACTGGCTCACCGGTCCCGCCTGCTACGCCGGCGCCGCATTCACCTATTACGCGTTCCTCACGTCGTTCGCGTGGATGTTGGTGATGAGCTTCGACTGCTGGCGCTCGCTGCGCCTGGCTACCGTCGAGCTGCGCGTCACCAGTGGCCGTCAGACGAAAAAGTTCCTCGTCTATTCGGCCGTCTGCTGGCTGGTGCCGGCCATGATGACCTTTGTGGCGGTGGCCGCAGACGCTGTGCCCGCCGTGCCCGACGACGTCCGTCCACGGTTCGGCGCCGACCAGTGCTGGTTCGGCAGCAAAACGGCGCTTTTGCTGTTCTTTGCCGGCCCTTTGACCACCATCATGGCCGTCAATGTCGTGCTGTTCGGCTGGACCGCGTACATGATCCACTCGAGCCGCGCCACCGTCCGGCACATCAACACGCGCCACGTGCGCCGCGACTTCCGCATGTACTGCCGTCTCGGCGTACTCATGGGCCTGACGTGGTCCACCGGCATAGTGGCCAGCTATACGGACGCCAAGTACATGTGGATGCTGTTCGTCCTCCTCAACACGTTCCAAGGCTTGTTCGTGTTCGTCGCGTTCACGTGCCGCCGCCGCATACTGGACTCGCTCGTCCGCGGCGTCGGCGGCGGAAACCTCGGCCTCGGCCACCTGTCCAACGAAAAGTCCAAGGACGGGGACAAGCACTCGCGCGGCCCGCCCCCGTCGTCGTTCTCCTGGTCGTCCAGCGACAACGGCGTGCCAATCAGTTCGGAGAAAACGACCGACACGCTCTACTGATCCGGCCGCCACCGTATTATTGTCTCGCGCGTTCGATTTTATTGCTCCGAACACGAATCAAAACACAACTCGAAGACTGAACGACTAAGATTCGCCGTCGGCCGACGGCGATGATGATGAACGCACAAATATTTGTTGTGTTTGTGTTGATGATGAACACGCGATCGCCGCCAGCAGAACGCTCTCTGTCCCCACTGAGATCTGTTTTTTAATGATTTTTTTTTTTATTACCTCTCTTGTGTCCTTTAAATTTACTTGCGCGCGCATGTTCTTGACGACTCTTATTATAACGATATGAAACAATTGCTCTCTTGTACGCGTCTTGCTGTGTATATTTTTTCGATTTAATACAAAGGTATGCGAAGTGGCTTACAGAATAAATAATAAATGTGCACACTTAATTTTTTGCATAATTAGGTATATTACGTTACTTATTACATTGTAAGTATATACATGTACGCATTATAATATTGACATTTTGTATGTAAATTATATTCCTAACGTATATTATGTTACGATTAATTCAATCACGTATAGTTTGTACAGTTTATTATTTATTATTATTTTGATAATTAAAATATTATTGACATAGTTTTACCGCTATTTTATTTGTTCGGACCATTTCGAATCGTGCATTAATTATTCTTTATTTTTCCAATATACGAATTCGTTTAGTATTGTCAATATTTAAATTATAGTTCGAAGGCGGACGATTGTGATACCCCGATGAATCGCAATGGCGCCAAACGATGTTTTCTAAACCATAACAATTAAAACGATCAATAAACATAGTTATCGGCACCCGGTATTGGATAAAACAAAACAACATTTTCAAACGGCAATCGTAACAATTATTATAAGACCATAATATAGTTTTATGATGCCCTAAAAACATCGGCAGTATTATATTATTACAGATTAGCACAATAGCATTACAAATAACATGTAATACCTATATTATATTATTATTCTGTCGTGTTTCACACTGATGTCGGTGTGTATACCTAACAAAATAATATTTAAATGTTTGAATGTGGTACGTGTTTTTTTTTTTTTTTTTTCTAAACACAGATGAGTTAGGAGGTGAAAGTTAGTGCGCACAGGACTCGGTGTACTAAAATGAATTCTTATGTAATAACAATAATTATACATACTGACTATATGAAGACGGTGAGTGGCGTATGTGTGTGTGTGTGATGTGCGCATGCGAGGAAACGTACCGTGGCGCTTGGCGTGCGTGCACACATGGAGGATTAGATTAAATTATTATAATATATTATATTTTGGTGCGTACCCAAATTAATTTTTATTTTTTTTTTAATTGACCGTTTCAAGTCTGAAATCAGCAGAGGAACGGGATAGATCGGATAACGTGGTCGTGGTATAGGTGCATATTATTGTTATTATTATTATGCCGTGTCGCGCGTCGTGGTAAGTAGTGCAAAAGAACGTCCGGTAGCCTAGTGAAAACAAAATATATCGCACAGTTTTCGCCGCGGCGTAGGTACGAAAAACGAGCGTGTGTTGGGAATTCAAATAATATTATTTTTATCGAGTCGAGTCGAGTCGCTATACGTACCTACATGGAATTTGAAAACCCACAAACTGTTCAATATTTCATAGGTATTACAATATTTATTTATTCACATTGCAAGTGATGTGCAAGCCAATTCATCGCACAGTTGAAATATATTTGTGTTAAATAAATTTGCGAATATAAGTTATGGACCATGTATTTTCAAATTGCTCTAACCACTTCATCGTTATTAAAAAAACAAAAATCAACTTAAGTTTGTAAACAAATACAAATGAACATTGATTACTGTTTACTAACTTGCCCACTTGTTGAGTGGGCCAAATGTATGCTTGTATTGAAGCCCACATATTCTCGAACAAACGGGAATATTATCGATTATATTATGATATCAGCACATTGTGTACGAGTACGAATAAAAGCAATCGGATTATTCGACTGCCAAAAACTAATAACTGAATACTAATAATATATTGCACCGTAATAAAGTAGAAGTTGAAGAGACAAGTGATTGCTATAAATAATTACATAAACTTATACCTAGCCTATTGGCCATTTCTATTGGGTACTTATACTAAACAGTCAATAATTATGATTAAATAAGTACCTATATTATATAGTGGTTTTTAACTATAAACAACTTAACTTTATTGTTGGAATCAGACTCGAAATGGAGAGACCGAGTAAGTGTCTAGTGATGAGAATATGCTGTGTAGGTAATCGGCGATATAGAAAGAAAAGTGCAGGTTTGTATACTTGAAGGTTTTACTACTTGTTTTCCTACCTAATGCGAAATCGTTGTGCACAGGAACTAAACTAAATTGCATGTGCAACAAAAATGAGCAGCGAAAAGTTGTTACACTTTTACGACAACCTGTAGCAAGCTTTACGGCGACTGTAGTTGGGATGGTGAGTTCTATGACGAACCTGAGCAGATCGTGGCCACCGCCGGCAATCCATATAAAGACTGCCGGTTTGACGGTTGTTACAGGCCATGGCATAAACGTCAGTGCTGTTCGCAGGCGATGGATGGTACTCTGAGCCCAAGATCCTGTCCGAAAAGAACCTCGCCCGTTTGTATACGTGTGCTCGGTTACTGGTGCCCAGTGTCCACGCTCGACAGGCAGCAGGCAGTTTGGTTTCTTGGCTGCATTGGTGTGGACGTTCGTTATATTGGCCGACGTGTGGATTTTGGATCGTGCTGCATGGTGTGTCCAAAAATAAGCTTCTGGTGGCTATTGGACCGCACCACGGCAGCATGCAATAACGTGGTCATGGATGCTCGAGATTAACTTGTACCTGTCAGTGGTTAGGTTAGGTTAGGGTTGGCCTGAAGTGGGTGATCGGGCTGATTAGCGTTATCACCGACTGAGATGATGTCGCTTGAAAAGTCTTACACCTTATGGATGGCCTTAAGCTCTGTGCGTTCATTTCCATCGAGCTTGATTGAAATCGAAATACCTTGCCCGAGACCATATTATTTGCCAAAGACAGCGATGGAAGAAATTATAAAAAATATTGTTCCACTAACAAAATATGATTGAATTTATGACGTTGTGACTCTGTTCACCAACAATTTCCTTGTCATTTAACTGGCTCGATTATTTTTCACCATGGGTACCATGGCACGTTTTCCTATATTATTTTATCAACGCCACTGTTCGATGTCCAACCTGACGATTTTAAATAGTAAAAAGACTTCGTACTTAATTGATAGAAAATTACAAAAGATTTAAACACAGTCCACCGATAAAATACTCTCCTTTCCAACAACAACAAAATAATTTTATTCTCGGACCATTTCCCAAAAGTACCATGTATGCAAGTATGAGCTCATGTTTTTACATCCTGATTTCATATTATTCCATCTTGATTATATTGAATATTATATTAGTTACTATTAGGTCAATATAATAGTTTGCAATTGTTCCCAGGTCCCGGGGCCCTCACAAGATTCAATTAATAAGAGGGACCAAAATGTTTACCGTTTTGTTTTTTTTAATATTTCTAGTAATTTGCAAAAAAAGTATTATAATTTTTTTTTTAAAGCTTGATAAGTGGCTCTATTAGTGTATGATTAAACGAATCACCAGATTGGGTTTGATAATTTTTTACCATTACTACTTAATTATAAATAAAATTACTCAACTACAGTGTTAAGTAATGCGTCGTAAATCATTATAGTTATTTGAATATCAAATAATTTATCAAAATATGTACATGTCTTGTTAAGAGAGGGCCCAAATTAAGAAAAGGCCCTGAAAAAATTGTAGGAACCCTTTGAAATGCACGCCTATGTCAGACAAATAAATATGAATGTATGATTAAAAAATTTAGGTTATTGAATTGTTGCTATTTCAATTTACCTTTATTATTATATAATGAATATTTATTTTTAGAGAAGGATATAAAATATTTTCTTATTATTGATCTCATGTATCTGGCATCTGCAATACTTGGCAAATTAATAAGAAGGTGTCTATATTTTAACAACTATAGTATTGAATTTAGTAAATATATTAAAGTAATAGTACAATATTTTATTTTAAATTGGAATTTTGTTTGAAATAATATATATACTTAGATAATTATAAGTTAATATACTATGGATCATTTCAAATCAATTAAATATTTGATTTATTTTTAAAATGGTTATCTATTAATTATAAAATCGTACTCTTAGTTAGCATGCAACATTTCAACTGGACTCAACCTGTATCATTTAACTAATATGAGATAGTGAACAATTAATTAATTTTCAAATGGATTTCACAACTCCATACAATAAATTGAATGGTAGCAATCCAAACCCTATTAGGTTATTTTACCCTAATTTACTCATATAGTATATATATTAATACTTATGGTCATTTTCTATGTAAAATAATGCAAAACATCTATTTTTATTTATTAAATTCAGATGTGTGTACGTTGCAAGTGAATTTTTTAAAAGTGTTTTGTTCTTAGTTTGATACAAAATGTTTTATTTTTCGGAAATGGCATGATTTAAAAAACAAACAAATAGATAATATATTCAGTATGACGTAGTATTACTATGATACGAACCGACTGAGTTCAAATTAATCCTAGCCTGAATTGTGAAATTTTATCTTCAATTTATTATCAGCATTTTATTTGTATTTAATACAACATTGTTTTCACTGAAACATTTATATTACAAAATACAAAACCATTATTATTTTGAAGTAATATTAATAAATATTGTAGTTTATTCGACAGAAAGAAAAAAATGGAAATAATGTTTTGCAAAAAGAATAATCATTCATTCATATTAATACTTCAGAAATCAATTTGTTTTGACTTTTATACTTAAAAAATATAAAGGAAGGAAATAGGTACCACGTTTTCAAAAAAATTTTAATTTAATAAGCCTTATTTATTTTGCCTTAAAAAATATGAGTGGCAAAAAAATACAAAAACTGATTACTTTTTATTATAAGAATATCCATCTCGATTTACTCAATTTTTCCAATAACATATATACTGGCTCTAAATATTGCATAAAATAAGTTTGATTAAATAAGCGACATGTAATATATTATAAATGGTACCTATACCTAAGTTGAATCTAACATTCAAATTAAATTTAACCTTACATGTTTTATATTTATAGGTATACCTATAACAAAAATTGTTGAGATATTATTACCCAGCAGACACCCACAACATACTTTATAATAGTATTATATTATACTCTCGTTTACCCGATAGTAAACCTTGATCCATTACTTTAACTATAATATATTTAATATGTGTCACCTGGGCTGTGTTTACTATGTATAGTATAAAAATTTATCAAAAACCGTCTACACGACCAATTAACTAATAGGTAGGTATTAAAATACTTATCAAGTTTTTAGTAAATATTATAAAAGTAATAAAATAATGACCCAACGCCCGCTTTTTTTTATAGTACTACGAGAATATAACAATATTTATCACGACCGAGCGACCGCATTACCAAAATTGTTTTTTACGTGTTCTACTAAAACGTGTCAAACGATATATTAATAAATAATATTACACTTTCAAGAGTTCATAATATTATAGCTAGTATATTATCGTTTCAGCACACATTCATTGTCTTCGCATTTGAGCCCTTAGAAATAACTTCGTGGCTCATAGGTAAATATAGGCGCCCTCCTATAATGCACTATCATAATATTATATTATATTATTATATTATATTAAGATAAAATCATGCAGACATCACACAATGTATATCGTTATACATATTTGTATTATAATATACAATTAAGATATTAATCATATTGTATCTTGATCCATTTGTGTATACCTAATACCTATACTAATTGTACGTATATTTTGTTACATGTTACAATGATTGACGGTCGGATATATTTTAATATACTTAATAGTATTGAGTTCATATTATGAATTTTATTTGCAGGTCTCTGAAAGTTCATAAACTCTTGATTTTTTCTATAAGGTCAACGAACTAGTCCTCACTATTGAATGATTGTAACAAATACCTATCGTAATTAAAGGTATGTTAGTATAATGTACATAATAAGAGGTATAATGGTATATATTCTAATAAATGCATACCAGGTCCGATAATTATTTATTTTAATTCAAATGGATACACTTAATAAATATACATAATAGTATGCAAATAACAAATTGTAGATAATGCTAAAATATGATCTAAATCCACTATCAATATCAACATAAATTATTGGTAAACTTAATTTCTTACTTTTAGATTCATAACAGATACATATGCAATATGCATTTTATAATGACGAATGTTTTTTTTATGGTTGTTTAGGTATATTAAAATTTAAAATTGTCCATGCATGGTATAATTTTGAAAATGCACGATAGATTGGTTATTTTTGTGGTATTATTATGTCTGGGTTGGTGTAGCGTAAGTAGGATTCATGGGTTAAGCCGTTGAGACCAAAAAGCGTCAAGGACGTGGCTTCTTCGACACTAAAGGTCCAATGAGACGATTGGATATTGGACTGCCGGCCGGTCGCCGTGTTCCCTAGCGCAGTAAATATTCAGGTGAACTGGACAAACTTACCAACCGGAAGAAAACGTCACCGTCGGTTCACCACAATCTAACTTTATAAGTTATGAAAAAAAACCAGCCTGCAAAATTCGCATCACGTCTGATCGGACCCTATAGTTTCTATGGTAATAAACTAATAAATAACAACCAATTTGTCTTATATTTGTGTGATAATAATTAATTTCAATTGAAAATTTTATTTTAACTTTATTCAAATTTAATATTTGACCGCTATGAACCTTTTTTTCATTCCCTCTGTAAATAAGTTTCACTTCATCCGCGCGTACAATTGCAACACGAATGACTTTTATTATTTACCTACCTATAATCTTATTCAACTCTCAGTCTTCAAAATTTCAGGCCACATTTTTATCAACAATACTTCTCAAGTTCTAAATTTTTCTAAGCTGTATAAAGTCCAATGACATTTTTCGATTATTTTGATTATTTACTTTTTAGGTGCGTTTGTACAAATCACATATTATACGTATTATAGGTATAGGTAGGTATCTAAAGTTAAAGTACATTTGTTGAACCAGCTAGGGCTTGAAACCGATATCGGATACCGATTTTAAATACCAGTTAAAAGTTAAAACCGTCGAAAACCAAAATCTATATCGAAACTGATAACAAAGTCGAAAAAAACCAACAACGGTAATCAAAACCGAAATTGAAATTGGAAAAAAATAAATATACCGATAATCCGAAATCGAAATAGTAAAAAATATTTTCTGTACTTTCAATACATTGATTAAAATTAAAATTGCCCACAAAACAAAACATCGTTTCTTTTTTTTTACGTACATTAGAGTGTATTTGTATTTGTATTTATTTCAATAGAATAATGGGACCCACTGAACATACTCATGTAGGTTTTAACCAACAGTGCTTTTGTTCAAATCATAATCAAATACACTGAGGTTTTGGCCACGGTCATGTATGTTTTAGTTTACCGATGTATGAATGACTACCCTGATGAAAATTAACGGAGGTTGGTATATATTACATAATTATTATAAATATTTATTTAAAAACAGGGTTGATGCTTTTGCTGGTATAATAATAGTAATAATAATATTTTGCAATAATGAATAAATATTTAAATACTACTCTATAGATATAATACTAGATAGATACTTGTTCGACCATAATTGAGACTCAATATTAGTCACAGAATGTGTATAGAATATATTAACCTCATCACACTCGCGGAGAAGTTACTGATAGTGTTGTGTAAATAAATCGTTTATTGCAATAAACTGAACCACAGACAATTGAAAAACATACAAATAATAATAGTATATTATATGAAATTGTTCAAAAATAAGAGTTTAAACTTTATCGCAGTTCACTTTAATAAAATTTCGCTAGGATCAGAGGCTCAAAAGCTGTCACGCATTCTCCGCTCAGAATCGTTGTTCGTATACAATGATGATATTTCATTGAATTCAAATTTAACTCATTCATACGAATTAGATTCGGAACATACCTACTACCTATGCACTATTCGGTAAAGTGGCTTTTTATTCTTTACACTATTGTTACATAACATTGTATACCATATAGTATAAGATAGTTTATGACATGGTAAAAGTGCTTGTACATAAGTATAATATTCATTCACAAAAAATTGGTGTTAATTGATGTTAACTGTTTTAATAATTTATTATCCTATGAGGACATAATAAATAATAATATATGTATTTTGGAAGCAAGATTGATTTTCAAGCACATTAAAAAAACAAAAATATAAGCAAAATTAAAAATTGGTCGATTCAAACAAAATAATATGAAGTCAGTTCATTTTCTCTCGTACATTTTGAACTCGAGTGGACGTGCTGACGGCTTCGGTTAAGGCTTGAACTCATCCATTACAAGGGTTACTCACAATATAATACCTACAGACATTTATTCAGTTATATCATATTATATCGTACAGAATTTATATTGCAGCATAATCAAGACGATGCGTGCAAATTCACTGATGGTATAGACAATTTTATTTTAAACAGATTTTTTTCTTAAAGACAATTTTAAGCCCAAACTGCAGTTCGACGCATCCACTACAACAACTGTCTTCTGCCCCGACAGTAGATAGCCGGCTGTACGACGTCACGAGGACTTATACAACTCATAGCGTGCGGTGGCATATATATAGGTACCTAGGTGGGGCGAGATGAACACGCGTTGGCGATGTGTTTCGGTATCGCCGCCGCCCAAGATAAGTGTTTTATAGTAAATGTAGGTATAGTCTCACTCGCGCTTGCGACCGGCGATGGTTCACTCACTAAAATATCATCCACGTGAAGTGTGTGACTGTGCTGTTTTTACTTTTTATAGTAGATATTGTTAATATTTAGCGAATTTCGATGTTTGTGCGTCCCATTTCGTCCGCCCTACACTTTATTCTATAGACTTTATTCCACTTTATTCGGCATGGATGTGACGCGGCCGACAATATGAAAGCTGACGTGAGTAGAACTACAGAGTTTTACTTTTTAAAATTGTATCATAATATAAACTATGTAGATGGGTGCTGGAATTCTGACTTGGCCAATTTATACGTATGATTGGGTATGAAAACTATTGGATTCGTATGGGTATGTCCCCACTCGTGACTTACCGTGCATATAATATACGATGGTATTACCTATATAATACCTATAATCTATAAATTATTATATCTATCTGTTTGATAGTTGGATACACAGTCCTACCTACAAAAAGTTACCTAATATTTAGTACGATTTTAAACGACTCCTCGTACACCCTCGTCGTTTGGCTATTGTAATAAAATTATAAACTATACCTAATGTGCATATTTTACAATTCAGCTACAACCTATTCTAATAATTTCAATACATATAATCGCTGGAAAATTATGAACTTAATTGTTATATCACAGTGCTCTGTAACTTGCCATGTTCACAACTTATTTAAATTTTTTCTGCAGTATATTTTTGCAAAGATAATAGATTTTATAGTATAGTTAAATGCCTCATAACTATTTTTATGGTAAAATCTACAACATTTAATTTTTTTTTTTTTGTTATTATTTTGATGAGATTATATTATTCTATATATAAACAAACATTATTCATAGTTATTATATGCATACATAATTTATTTCAATTTTTTATTGAATATCTTAAATTGAATGACATATAAGGTCACTCAACGTTACCGGATTAGTATTTACTATTTTTCAAAAAATAGTGATAAACTGATAAATATTAATTGAAATTAATTAATTAAAACTACATAATAGTAATTATGACAATAATATTATATTTTATACTTTTTAATTCTTAAATATACTAATATACTAGTTAACTACAATGTGTACAGTTTAAAATACATGCACTTATTGGCTATAATTTAAAAAAAATGTTTAATACATTTTGAATAGTTGAAAACCCATTGTTTACTAGAATTCATAGAAAAATTATTTTATATTTTAGCCAAATATCCATCTACGAGACTAAAAAAGTTACATTTTTTAATGTTGTTAAAAAAATATATCTTTTGAATCGCAACAGTTGTATTACATTATTCAGTGAAAATGCAATGAACAGATGTATCATGTTGTTATTGTCTACAACTTTTAACCAGCATGTGCAAGTAAAATAGCAATTCCCTAAAAATAAATTAAAATTTAACGACTGAAATACGCAATCAATATGGTGTCAATGTTTACCTTACGTTTTAAAATACATTTTAATAGTACTGTTTAAGATTTGCACATAATATACCGTTTCCAAGCTAAATTTACACTTTGCACCTTTTGTGTGTAATATGTATACCAAAATAATGAAAAATATAAAATTGTTTCATCTGTAATAGTCAATAGTATTCTACAGTCAAGTAATAGGGACGTTATTCGTTGGATACAAATATTGCAATAAAATATTTTATATCTCTTATATCTAAATGATAATTTGTACAATTATTGTTTTAGTGACAATTGTTATCGTAAATAACTAATATTTATAACTGATTAGTATTCATTTCGGGTTTTAACCATAAATCGTATATCTAATACACCTATAAATACTTCGTCAAAATAAATTATAATATTATGTCCATCGTTTAAAAATATAGTTAGGTACCTACGATTTTATTATTTAAAAAATAAATTTTAATAAATTTTAATTATTTAATTTTTTAATTAGTAACTCAACATTATTGATATAAGATTATCTTATTTTTGTAATATCATACGGAAGTAAAAATAGTGTTTACATGTTATACCGGCTGTACCTACCTCAACACCAATATCATAATATTCAATTCATCCATACAGGGGGCGCGGGCTTCAAAAACCAACTTCTCATTTATCGGCAAAAAGAAGATGACAAAGTGTTTTTAAAATTTAAATCAACAACGCTAATGGCTTATATTATTAAATTCAAAATACAATTAAGCTTGCGTTTAATGTTGATAGCTGATTAGTTAATACTTAAAAAAATATTCCTATAGATATAACCGACACAACATGACAGTTTACATTAAATAATTTACAAGAATTTTATCAAAAATATCGTAGGTAGGTACTTTATAATAAATATTATCTCTGGAGTAAAGTAAAGATCAGATCAAACAGTTACGATAGCTATAACGAGATATTCATATATTTTTCAATATTATGTTTGTATAATTAATAATTACCTATATAAATACTTCTGGATTCAGTGGCACCACATGAGTGTTTTAATATTGATGCCAACATTTAAGAAGGCCAATTTTTTTTTATCGTTAGTCAACTTTTTTTAAATACGTTTCTTTATACAACGGAGGACGAGGTTAAAAGATTGTACATACTTAATATTTTGATGAATTAATCAATAACTCTTTCACATTAATATATCTTTTGATAGCCATAATATATTATATAAGTATAATACATAGGTAATAGGTCCTTTATATAAAATTATATCTACAACATACTAGAACATAATTACAAAATGCCAGCATGTGAAAATATCCGTCTCTGATCAAACAGACTCAATTGGAAAAGTTTACATTTTATATTATAGTTGTTTGAAGTATGTGTTTTCCTGTAATCGAGTATTCGCCGGTCGAAGTCAATCAATAATTATTATTGTCGTTAATAACGATATTATAGTATTACAATATCTGTAGTATGCCTATAATTATATCATCATACCAACGAAAAAAAATATTATCTGAAAGGTTGAAAATAGTATTTGCATTATATATATATACGGAAATTTTAGTGTACATATTATATTATACGCATTATGGCTTACGCAATATAATGTAATTTATATTCTAAATGGTATGTTCGGGACGTTTGGAAATTGTGTGGCAGGCCAATAAAACACAGACAAAATAGGGATGAAAATGTGACTTTAAAAACTACCCACGTATAATAACAATAATCATATATGAAAAATATAGTTATAATTTTTTAATAATAATATAATAAATGTATTACTTTTTTCAAAAAATAATAAACCCACTACTATCTAATAAGTAATAACGCGATGATGACGGATCGGATGTAAGACTTTGTAATAATTACCAGCAGGAAGGCGGACGAGGGGTACTTAGTTTGAAATCCTGAAAAATAAAATTATTATTGTCATTCAATTCTGTCAAATTTAGACGTCAATGTGAGCTTACCGAAGAAAAAAAAATTGAATAATTGATAATCGACTACATTATTACTCATTTAGGTGAAAATTAGTAGGTAATTACAAATACCATTTTCGACTTCCTACGATGGTGCAAATTGGTAATTACATTCCCTTATTTTGGTGAAAATTACAAACTCCCATCGATGCACAATGCACATGCACTGTCCAAAATTTATTATTAGGGCATAATAGTATTGGAAATTTTGATGCAACAAATGTAGCATTTGTATACATAGATGTGTGATTAAATACATTTTTTAACATGAAAGTAACACACACGACTACTGTATGTCGGAGAGCTGCTTAGTTGTAGAACGTTGCAAGCAGTGTTGTGCTTAGATAATTTTTTTGTATCTAGATATAGATAAGATATATGAACTCAAAATATATCTAGATAGAGATAGATAATGATAAATTAAAATATATCTAGATATAACTAAATTTAGCTATTGCACAACACTGGTTGCAAGGTTCTATTTTTTTTTAATTTTGAAAAAATATTGAAGTACAGGTTATACCATTTTTTAGAAAGACAGAGGATGCTTATGAGTTATGAAGAAATAATTGTGTTTTATTGGGATCGTAGATACTATCTGGGTAATATTGTTTTGGTCGTAAATATTATTATATAAACTAGTTATAAAATTATGTCTAATCTGCGTCCTATATGGTTTTATGCAATATTCATATGGGACATAGATGTACATAATAATATATTATATTAATTGTTAAAAAAAAAATTGAAAATATGATCTCCAATATTGTGAAAAAAATATCACTGTGACCTGTAAAGTGATAAGTGATTAGTAATAACTAGGGAACGGATTTTATTGTAAATACATATTTTTATTGGAATGAGATATTTTTAATCTGATAAAAAATGTGCAGGATTCAGATCATTCTTATTAAAATAAGCCCAATTTTATTTTACATATTTTTAAATATTTGGGTAAAAATACATATATTCGCATATTTTGTAAATAACTGAATATTTCGTAAATATTTGGGTATTTTTGGTTTTTTTCGTCAATTTACAACGACGTCAAAGATTATTTGCCTTAACATAATAGCAATCAGATACCCTATAGTCTAAATATTATACGCTGTCGATGAAAGCCTAAAATAATAATATTTGTAATTTTCAATGACGATAAACATTATCTACAATCTACTAAATGGACTTTATACACTGCTATCGTAATATACACTGTGGACAAGTGAGTAGGTAACGTGTTTATTCAATGTTACGGTCTTCAGTCTTCAGTGTATGTCTAGCTACTGTTATGGCGGGCGTAATTATTTGCATCGTTTTATTCTTCATATCTACATCGAAATTTTGTTGGTTTTTTATAAAATTGTTTAGAATGCCTAAAGTTGTAAGTTCAATCAATAATTAGGTAGCCGCATATTTAAAAGAATTTCCGAATGAAACATTTCAAAGTGATAGGAAAGTTTTATAGGTACTGTAAATGTTGTGAAAAATCGGTATGCTATCATTACGTCAGTTGACGTGGAACGTTCATTCGGTCAATACAAAAACATTTTACGACCAAATCGCCGCCATTTTACGTTTTTAAATCCTAGAGAATATGTAGTTTCACCATAGACCTTGTACTCATAGACGGAGCATGGGTATAGTTCCAGCGGTCAGACGTGAGTATAAGGTCTATGAGTTTCACGTTGTTTTAATAATTATTAATTCGATAAGAGATAAGATTTTTATACTTACTTTTGTTACTTATTTTTTCTGTTAAGCGGTTATTACATATTTTGATTTTTTTTTACATATTTCAATAAAAATAAATACCTACATATTTATGTACATATTTTGATTTTTTTATTACAATAAAAATCCGTTCCCTAGTAATAACTAATAACTATGTTTAAAACGTATATAATATAGGACGCTACACCCGAATGACATGTTGTCTCCGTCTTACAAATGTAAATTATAGCAAAAACCGTTGCGCACGGGAAAATACCGAGAAGGCTACAGCTAAGAAACTAAGAAAAACTAAGAAACCAAATTTTCACCATGGTCCATGAATAGAGGAAAAGTCAACCCGTGTCGAAGCTTTTTTACATTTTCGATAAGACAAATGTATGAAAGGTTATTTAAGTTTAGAAAACCTAAAAATATCAGATTTTTAAAATTATTGTAACTTTTTTTACTTATGATATTAAACAAATAAAAATTTTACGACATAGAAAGTATTATCTTCTATATTTTGTGAGCTTTCGGTGTCTCTACTATAGACTGAGTGGTTTTTATTTGTATTTAAGGTCATGGTACCAGGTTAACAACTAGGTTATACTAGGTATATCACTGTACTGACTAGAAACCATTTTAATTCAAAAGAATATGGTTACGATTCACAGTAAATTATATTCTTGAATGTAAAATACATTATTTTCTAATAATATTAACAGGATAAGTAGGTAATATAATTTTTTCGTACCACCTGTATAAAATAAATGTTTACCTTTTGTATATTAAAGTTCTGTACAGATATATTATACCTACTCACATCTCGTAGTACATAATATGTATTATGGAGATATCCTATATTGGAGGGCATGTTTATAATTTCACAGAATTATTGTCCACAAAGCTAAATGGCCTGGCGTATGAAAGATATTGAATCAAAATTAAATATCCTCCAACAGATTCGTAGGTAATCACAAATAACAAATTCGTAAAATCTTAAATTGCAGTTGTTGTTCCTGCCAATTTTAGGGTAGAAATTCTAAGTTGCGAGTCACAAAATACGACTGAATGGAGTATGTTTCGAGTGATAATATTATTGTACAACATCGGTTTTAAGCTCTTATAATGCCGTCATCACAATATCACATAATATTATCTTTATCTGTAGTATGTTAGTATAATAAAAAAAAAATTAGTTCAAGAACTAACCATACTTCCCGTATTGGTAATATACCTAATTTATTGTACGTAACGATAATAATATTGGTATATTAGGCATATAAAATCGAAACGTTGGGTATCGACTAGGATAATATTAATACTATACAGTAATAGTAATCAGTTTTTTTTAATTCGTTATAAATTGTAATTATTACTGTATTTTACGAATATTGCACAATTTGATGATATTGTTCAATGATCTTTACTGTAGTATAAAATATGAATCATGACTCATAAGGACAACCTATGAGCCGTTACAAGTGACATTAAGTGTACCTTTATCTAATAAATAAATTTGTTTTTGTTGTATGTTTGTACAGAATATTAGAATACATTTGACTATCGCCACATGTATTTTCTTTGTGTCGTGGACATCTGCCATTGACATTCCAGATGAAGATCTTAACAACACAAATAAGTAAGTACAATTTGTCTGTACTTAGGAAATTTGATTATTATTTAATATGTATTTATACTTGAGTGATAAGTGATGACATATTTTGTAAAAAACACTATTATTTATTGTATATTATTAGTTGCTTAGTAAAAATGTATTTTTATCATCTAGAATTAATGAAATTGAGTTTAATTAACATTTTAATGTTAAGGTAGATAATATAAACATGTGTGAGCAGTGTATAATAAAAAATTAATAAATATTCATGTTTAATATCCGTTTCTTAAAGAATATTCACATTTTGATGAGGAAAAACTAATATACATTTTTTCTATGTCTCACACTTGTGTATTGTGTAATAAAGTTAAAACATCTCTCCGTATTCACTTATTGTTGATGTATCATTAGGTTGGGTTAGGTGAGGTACATGTTATAATAATTACCTATAAAAAATAAAATTATTTTTTCTTGTCGGAAGCTGTTATTAATAATTTGATGACTTTCGAAGTTATTGATAATTATATATACTTAAAAAATTAAAACAAATTAAATACTAAAAACTTTATTAAAAATCAAAATTTTAATAAAAAAAAAAAAAGCATTACACAAAACACAGAATTAACCGACTGTATTATTCTTTATAATTTTTATATTAGATAATTATACCATAAAATATAAATTCAATAACGTAATCACAACGGATGAAAACCGGAGAGAGGTTTTACTTTATTATTTTATAGTGTGATGTAGAGAATAAATTCTTATTCTTTTCTGATGTAATATTGCTGCCATGAAATATCAATATAACTGTAGTTACTAAAATTGATATTTGTAACCATATTAATTTTGTTAGAGCAACTCGATGGCAAGTAATAAGATATTATATTTTATTTGTACTAAATTGTACGTCAATTTATGGTACAATATCAATACTTTTAATTTCACATTGGTATATATATAAATGCCACTAATGCAATAAAAAACACATAAATCTTAGGTTATAAAAAAAACTATATATGTATATATTTTTAAATTATTGTCGTAAATATAGCCTAATAAGTAATGGTACATATTGGTTTATACTGAACATAGTTTATATAGCCAATGTCATCATAATTATAAGACTTAGATGAAAGGCTTTACTTTATGTCTTTATACTTATACAGAAACGTATGATATTGTTTGCTTAGAATATGAACCTTAAATTATACTAACCAACCTTTGGTTAGTTTACTTGTATGGTTCGTGTATGGCACTATATTATTTTATACTATTATTATATGTTTCAATGTTTGTAGTATTATATTATACGCATCATAATGTCATAAATCATAATATAAATATAGCTTTATAGTTACAATTTTATAATGGTATACCTATGCATTTCGTGTACTACACGAGTGCACAACATCAAGAATAAATCTCAGACGTATACTAAAGCCATAAACGCTGTACGACGGACTAATAGTTGAAGATATAATATACACTGTGGTTTAGAAAGTCCAACTCCTTCTAACAAACACTTAGGCCGCAATCTGCACTGCGTACACTGTTTAGAAATGTCGACGGCAGCTTTGAAACAGGTTAGCTATACTTTTGGCTTAAGTAGTAAGTTTGAAATAAAACCACGGGCTATGTGCATTTTCGACAAGTGACTCAAATCAATATTGGAGTAAGTCGTATGCTGGTTGAGTTTAAGTACATTCTCTGAGCTGCGAGGAGATCTCGCAATTTTATCAACGTACAAGGTATTGGAGTTATAATATGTCAAACGACGAAAAAATATCAAACGATACATTTTGTTTGTTTGGGTTCAATATTTTTATTTTTTGTTTCTATTGGTCAACTCATAGGTCCATTGGCTGTATGACAAAATCGCCAAAAGTATAAAAAATGACGTATCATTTGCGCCAAAATTAATAATATAATGATATGTATAAAAATAAATATAAATTAAATAAATCGGTTGTTTTTATAATGCCACTTTTTTCACATATTTCTTAGGTAAGGTTATTTCACTACATTGGTATTTATTCCATTGTACAATCATTTCTTTGTGAGATATCCTTAATTTTTTGTTAGGAGAAGATTTTATTCATAAATACGTTTCGCTTTGTAATTTTAATAATACAACAATAAATTGCTGAACGGAACAACGAGCCATACATAAAAATATATAATTGATCTTTTATAGTTCTCAATTTAATATCTATTAATCGTGGCACCTGTAGGACTCGGTTCGACATTTTTTACTTATATCATTTTGGCGCTTATGTCGCCCACCGGGTTCATTGCAGCAGTTTGTAACAGAGATAGGTATACTGTCTTACCATATGGTTTTCTTTCGTTATTATTCCAGTGATTTAATTTTAAGTATCAGAATTTTAAAATGCTAAACAAAGCAAAACAAAAAACTACGTTTATATACTGAAATGATTTTGAGACATACGTAAAAGGTTTAAAACTCAAATGATATCGGTTTCATGTAGTTCATAATATATTTTAAAAAAGTATGATAACTTGTTTTACCAAAAAGCTTTTTGAAGTGAATAACTTTTTTCGGCACCGTAGCGTAAGTCGGATTCGCGGGTTAGGCCGTTGAGACCAAAAATCGTCATGGACGTGGCTTACTCGACACTAATTGTCCAATCAGACGATCGGATTTTTCCGGCCGGTCGCCGTGTTCCATAACACAGTAACTATTCCGGTGAACTGGTAACTTACCAACTGGAAGAAAACGTCACTCGTCTGATTGAACCCTATGGTTTCTATGGTAATGAATAATTGACTGCAATTTGTCTTTGAGTAATAATAATAAATTGATTTCAATTAAAAATTAAATTTTTAATCCTTTTTTTTCATACCCACTGTAAAGAAGTTTAACTTCATCCTCGCGTACTATTGCAACCCGTACGGCTTTTATTATTTACCTACCTATCTTATTCAATTCTCAGTCTTATACATTTTAGGTCACATTTTGCTCAACAATATTTCTAAATTTTTTTAGATTTTTTTTCACATTAACTTTATTTTTAGTTTTTATTGAATAAATTTGTAATAAATAACCTTGCATTTTGTTATTTTACTGCAACCTATACATTTGAATTTATGGAAATCGATTTATTCATTTTTGAATGATTGTTGTAATGGCTACCTATTACCTAAACAAACCCATTTATTGTAATAGTTTTCGAAATACAACTATATTATTATAATGTTATCATAAATTATTTGTGATATACCGCTAACATAACTCTGTCTCTGCAAGCTGATTTTTTGTGCATCTGATAAAATAAAAACCATTACCCAACTACCTGTGCAATCATGTCTAAGTTTAATACAAGTTGAATTTGCACCATAATTCATATGATTATTAAAATAAGACATTCTATATACATCGAATAAACTAAAACGTTTTTAAGACATCGGTTTATAGAATATAGATACATGATAGTAAAACAAATATAATTTTCATTTATAACATACGTATATAATATATTTACAAGTATATAAAGATATTGGACCTATATTATAAGTTAGTATGTATTTTCTTTACCGTAAAGAAATGTCATTTGTCAGTAAATATTGACTGCAGTCAAATTGCCTAATGGATATAGGCAGTATTCGGTATAGTCGTATAGATGAAAATATGATGCTACAATATCTTAACTACATTTTTCAAATGTTTCTAGTGTTTCTACTATAGATATACACTGTATACTATACAGTATAACGCATGTTTATTCATACAACTCTTGTAATTTTCGTTTATTGTTGTGTACGTCATGATAATATTGTTGGTATACCTACATAGGTACTTAGTAATTACCTATATAATTTAATAGTTTATACATATTTACTGTTGTGAGTAAGTCTTGGTGTATTTAATAGGTACCTTTAATATCTAATAAAGCACAGCGTACTACCTTATAATGTCACCATGCCTATTGCCTATTCGTGATATTAAATAATACAGTAACATGGATACATATATGTATGATGAAAAAGTTGATTAAATATCATAAAACAAATTATCATTATTCCATGTTTTATCCACTCTTCGTTACATCACGTGAGGCTATACACTATAAGTATGTGGGTCGTTACTCATTGCAACGGTATAGTTTTATATTTAAAAAATTACGGAAGCAGTATATTAAATTAAATTAGAGGGACAACGAATTGTAAAAAGTTCAAATGTAGAATTTTTAATTTTCTAAAGACCTACAAAATAATTGTTATATGTTCGTCAAATTTTGTTAAATTTTGAATTTCAAATTATAATAAAAAAAAGTAAAAACGAGCCTATATATATTTTAATATTTTGAAATTGCTAGACCAACTTAATGTGTGAGATCTTGTATTAAATATTTTTTACCGGGTCTGACATTTTGTACCAAGCCTTATGAATAAAAATACAACATTTAAATGACATTTTGTTTATAAAATAATATTTTAGGTAATAGAAAAATGTTTCGATTTTTTTTTTCAATTTTTTAAACTACAGCAAAAATTAAATTATTTGAAAAGGAAACGTTTTTTATGTGTGAATATCGAATCCCATCAAAATTTGAACTTGATTCTAAATGCGAAAGTCGAGACTTATTATTTTTAATATTTTTTTATCGCTGTTAGAATAAATTATGAGGAACCTTGTCTTAAACTTGCAAGCTTTTTTACTGACAATTAAATATTTTATCATACATAAATATTGTTCAAATGTTTTATTATGCCCGTAGTAAATATTATGTCAATATAAAGTGAAAAATTCAAGTTTCTACAGTTTTTAATTTTGAATATTATTCAAGTATCATGACAAAAAATTAAAAATCGGTTTTGTCGAAATTCAAGTTTATCCTTAATTTATTTCCAAAATTAAATTTTGAGCATTTTTACTGCTGCAAAAGGTATAATGGCATTCACAAAATAAACACAATTTATTGTAAAACAAATGCATTCATTGTCCATTGACTCATACAGGATATTAAATAACAAAATTTCAAATGACTTTAAATAGCTTAAATAATTAGTCATTTTTTTCTACTCTAAGAGTAAAGCATCAAATATACAAAAAAAATTAGTAATTTTAAAACTATTTTCTTCAATATTGCTCCTCTCAAAATTTAAAAATACTCTTGATGCCATAAATAATTTACGTTTGTGTGATTATTTACATATTATTATCTAATAATGTTGTATAGGTACTTGTAATCCAGAATGAACGATATCATTTTAAATCATGTCATTACATGTCTTGTTTTTAGGTTAAGTACTCCACATGTGTGAGCCAGAAAAGATTGTGGGTTGCGGCGGAAGTGGGCTAAAAATAAAACCCTAAACAGGACATCGGCAAGAAACTTTATTTTGTATTGTATTTTTGACTGTAAACTTATTTTATTGAAATTTGAATAATTGTGTAACAAATATAACGATTAATTGAACCACACGTTTCGTAATAGGTAGACTTTCAGACATACCTAGGTATTATTTATATTAATATTTTGGTAATTGAAATATTATTGACTTATACGATTATGATGACGTTTATTTAATTTTTCTAGACTATTCCAAATAGTGTTTTCATAATATTATACTTATGGTTATGGTTATCGTTCTACTACACAATTTGATTAATATTATATTATAGGTCGATCGCAGACGATTATGAAACCACTGCGCTTTTGGACGATGACGAGGACGACGAAGATGTCAAGTCTGCGGATTACCCAACAAAGCCGAACACTAAAAGGTTCAACGCTGGTGTTATTAAGAGGTATATAATATATATTATTATTAATTATTACTTACTTACATAATATGCGCATTTTAAATCCTATAATTTAATTTTCACAAAATCTTTTTAGTATATTACCTTCCATTCTACAAACATTTAATTCGTAGTACATATTATGTTTAAAGTGAAATGAGTCTAAGTGAGTCTAAGAATTAAATCTTTGTCGGCGTAAATTAGCCATCATAATATGTGATAGAATATATGGGAAGGAGATCAAAAAAAAATTAACACATAATTTCTGTACTCTGCGCAGGACTGAAACGGAATTGACATGTCGAAGAACGTTCGAGTACGACGGCCAAACGTTGTCGCACTGTTACAACGACTCGCACTGCAAGCTGTACGGCGACTGTTGCCGGGACAGTAAGTTCTACGGCGAGCCAGAGCAGACCGTGGCCATCACAGGCAGCGTGTACAACAACAGCCGGTACGGGTGTTACAACAAGCACGGCCTGTCCGCGGAACAAGCGCTGTTGATCGGCAGGTGTCCGCGGGTGTCGTCTCCAGCAGCTGCAGATCGCGAATTGCGCGACAAGTGCGAATGGCGCGACGACGATTTCATATCCGCCTACCCCGTGTCGAGCAGTGACGGCGGACACGCATATTACAAGAACGTCTGGTGCGCTTTGTGCCACGGCGAACGTCGGCAGGTCGTCTACTGGAAACCACGATTCGTGTGTTACGGAAACGGCGGCCGGGTGTTGCCGCTGCAGGTTCAGCTGGAGAACGCGTCCGACCACACCCTGTTGTATCGAGACGGCCAGTGGTACTACGCCGACTACAAAAACCGGACGTTATCCCCGTGCGACTACCGGATCCGGCCACCGGAAGCGACCGCCGCCCCACCGTTGCGGCCTTGCGTCGCCGAGAGGTTCGCCGGGATCGTGGACGGCTGTCCGGCCGGCACGCCAACCGCCATGGCCTCGGCGTGTGCGTCGCACACCTACACGCTTTTCGAGTACCAACCAAGCGGCGACCGCGATAGGCGCGTGTTCCGAAACGCCGACTGCGCCCGGTGCAACGGCTTGACCACAAACCAGTTGACGTGCGAACCGCCACCGCCGCCGTTACGCAGCGGTGTGGTAGGGTTCGCGTCGCTGTTCGCGGTCAGTGAAGCCGGCAAACTGCGCGACCTGTGTCCCCCAGACGAGATATACGACGTGCCCTCGGTCAAGTGCAGGAACGTGATCCGGGAACAGCTGTCGGGCGCTTGCTTGACGTTCGTGACGTACGGCCAAGGCGAATACGACGGACGGACCGTGGGCAACGGGACGGCGTACGTGTATGCGTACAAAAAACGAGTCCGATACAGGACGGGAGACCGCCCGACGGGCGCCGGGTCTCTGCTGCAGGTGTGCACCGAGGACGCGGACGGGCTGCTCAAACCGTACCAGCAATCAGCGTACGCGGTGTATCTGTCGTACGCGGGCGTGGTTGGATCGTGCGTGTCCGCCGTCTCGCTGGTCGCGCATCTCGTGCTGTTTGGGTTCTGTGGGTGTTGTGCGGGCGCCGAGCCCAAGAACCTGCCCGAAAAGAACCTGGCCAGTCTGTCCGCCGGTTTGCTGTTGGGCTACGTGGGCTACCTGTCCGTGGCACTGCGAGACGTGTCCCCCGGCGGCGGTCTGCCGTGCCTGGTGTCCGCGCTCACTACCCAGTTCGGTTTCCTGGCCGCTTTCGCGTGGATGTTCGTCATGTCGGCCGACGTGTGGATCGTGCTGCACGCGTCCACAAAGAAACTGCGGGTGGCCGGCGGCCAGCGCCACGGCCGGTTCATCGTCTACTCGATGTTTGCGTGGCTCGCGCCAGCCGCGCTCACTGCACTGGCCGCCACCATGCAACTGCAGTTGGCCGGTGGCGCGCTGTTCCCCGAGCTCCGGCCCAACTTCCATTACGACTGCTGGTTCCGGAACCCGCAGTCGCTGGTCGCACTGTTCGTGCTGCCGGCCGGAACTGCGATCGCCGCCAACTACGTGTCGTTCTTCGGCGCCGTCCGGCTGATCGCCACTTCCGACGACGGGTTCAAGACGTCCGGCAGCGGGAGGGGCGGCTGCAGCAACGCGACCACCGTCAACCGGACGCGCAGGAACCTCAAGATCTACGTGCGGCTGTCGCTGATGATGGGCCTGGCGTGGGTGTTCGCGCTGGTCGGCGCGGTCACCGACAGCGACGTTGCGTGGACGCTCAACACGGCCCTCAACTCGCTGCAGGGCGCGTTCATATTCGTCGCGTTCGACTGCAACCGGATCACCGTGCAGAAGTTGGCAGTGTTCCGCAAACAACCGTCCGTGTCCGAGACGCAGACCACCACAGCGGCCACACCGCTCAGCGCTTCCACCTAGCGGACGTCCGGCCACAGTATTTCCCAACACTTAATATTAATATCGTGTTTTGCGTGGGACCCGCGGTGTAGTGTGTACTTTTGTTACTGTGTAGACGTATTTTTGACACTATTGAGTACACGATGGTAGTAGATATATTTTATTTTATTATGTTTTATCATATTTTACTATTTTTTATTATATTTTATTACATTATATTATACATTTATATGTCGCCGCTTTTGAACATCGACCACGCAACCCTCGCTGATATTTCCCACCGCTATTTGTTCGCAATTTGATTTATTGTAATCACGGAGGTTTGAATGTCACTTTTAACTATTTTTGTATGTTAGTAAGTTTTATTGTTCTACTCTATAATCCCAATTATATGCTATTTTTTTTTTTTTGAGGTATAAGAAATACGTTTTACTTTTTATATTATCTATAATAACTAACCATAGAATATTATAATATTGTATTATTAGTAATTATAAGATTGATAATGATTGTTACTTACCAGTTGGCAATTTCATCTTATCTTATCCATTCCATCATTCATAAAAATAAATGATTTTTTTCTTTATTTTATGTACAAAATACAAAATATTATGCCCACGAGCACAGCTGTATAAGAAATACTCTGTATCTATGTGCTTTAGCCAAATTATTGAACATGAACGGCTTGACTCCCACCCATTGGCCATAGGTAACACTACTTACAGTACAATTGTACTTCATATTTGTTTTTATTTATGTATTTATTAGTTGCACAAATTTTTACACTATTTTCGCTTCAAGCGTCCAGCTAGTGGATTACTAGGAATTAAGTTGAAGTTTTGGGTTAAGATGTTAGACATTAGAATGAGTGCCACTGTCACAGCAGCCAAGGAGCATCGTTTTAATAAAAAAACTTTATTTTTTAATATTTAAGAATTCAGCAATGTTACTTTTTTTATATAATTGTAGTAGCTTAGTAAACTTAGGAAATAAGAAATATGACTGTACTTATGTAATATGCTTACACACAATTATATTTATAAAACAATTTTAACATCGATACATCATTAAAATTATTAATATTTAATGATTCGTTTTGGATCAGGTACATCAATATTATTTGATTTCATAATGTAATAAGTTATTACTCTAAAATAATAATACATTCTACTACATTTTCACTTAAAATAAATAGTATTTAATCAATACATTTCGGTGTCTATTGTAGGTACGATGTATGGAATGTTCAAATCTTCGTGATGCAAATCATTATACCTACCAACGGCAAATGTTTATCGGCAAATTAAAAGAACCAGCCGCATTGTATATAATTATGCGCTTTAGCGTTATAATGTTGTTCCATAGCAACTAACGCATAGGCATACCTACTCGTATAAGAATCAATAGTCGAACAAACATCCATACTGCTGTGTTGTATGACGGTCGTTGTTTCCATTGCAGCCGTAGGATATTTCGTGAATTTATTCCACAACAAGGCTGCACGTTCACTAGTGTATAGTTTTATATAGTTTCTTACCTACACCCAAACGATTCGTGTATAGGCCATGGAAGAGTTTGCTGACGCCAAAGAAGACGAAAACAAAAAAATTGTTCACACATATCCATTAGTGCAAGTGAGTACCCGCGCACGAAGTTATACATACTGCAGTAGTGCAGTACACCTATACTGTATACCATCTAATACGTGTACTTTTGTTGCTGTGTAGACGTATTTTTGACACTATTGAGTACACGATGGTAGTAGATATATTTTATTTTATTATGTTTTATCATATTTTACNTGCTGACGCCAAAGAAGACGAAAACAAAAAAATTGTTCACACATATCCATTAGTGCAAGTGAGTACCCGCGCACGAAGTTATACATACTGCAGTACACCTATACTGTATAGTCGACTGTATACCATCTAATACCGACAGCAGTGGCGTAGCCAGGATTTTTATTGATATGGGGAGGGGGGGTGCTTAATAAAAATTATAGTTTTAACAATGATTATTTTTTACGTAATAAATTTACTGAACACTGTAAGAATTTATTATTTTCCAAAAATTTCTGGGACGGCATTACCCTTAGACAGTTAGATCCCCGCCTGGCAATGACATTAACCTACGGATATTAGGTACCCATATTCATAGGCGTGTTCAGACTTCGGTGGCTAAGGGGGCACAGCAAATTGTGAGACCTATTTTTTTTATTGTCAAAGCAATAAAAATACATTTAAAACTAAATTAAAAACAGATATATAATAAAGAAAATTGTATCCTGGCATGATGTTGAGTCTGCCCGGAGGGGGGGAAGTGCCACCCGGGCCCTCCCGTAAAAACGCGTATGCCTATATTGTATACATAGTGCATGCAACATGCATAAATGAAACAATCCATGCTTATGAAATTATGTCACAAAACTCGTGGGATGGTTAAATTAAGATATTCTGCTAAAATCACTACTAATTTGAGTAGATGCCTGCTTATATTTAAATAATTGTGTTACGATTGATTATTGAACACTTTTATAAATATTATTATTTGTAAATTATCAATTAAGTATTTTGAAGTACATCATATACGTCATATACATTTTTGGTATTGACTTAAAATAATATTGAATACTTATTAATTGTGATATGTATTTTTTTTTAATACCAACCATAATACATTTAATAAATAACTACAATGCATTAAAAGTTTAAAATTCAAAAATCTACTAAACTTTTTAAATATTTAAACATTTTAAACTCATGTTTATAATATCTATGTGAATAATTAATAAAAACAAATAATATTGTATATTGTCAGGCGTGTGACATGTCAGAAGAAATGAAAGCTGAAACGGTTGAAGTTATAATAACAGCATGCGAAAAATTTGGAACAGATTATTTCGTAAGATTAATCATTTTTTTAAAATTTATTCATAGGAATTCGTACATATTTTAAGTCCAATGTTTCAAATTTTGACACCTTGGTGGTTATTGTTACTGAACGGACAATGGGTAGTGATTTATATACATAGGTATATCATATTATTACACATACCATCTAAAAAAATTATTTTTAGGTACATGATAATAGGTATGATGAGCACACTTTTGGGATTCCCAGTTCGGAATAGGTATTTAGAAAACGCTGGCTTATAACTTATAAGTAAAGGTAATCTACAGGTGAACAACAAATACATTTTTTAATTTAATATCTAATTACTAATTAGTAATCACCACTACTACCTACGTCCTACCTATATTGTAGGTAACGCCGGAGTTATATAATATTATAAATACCTACTTATTACGAACATAAAGTTATTATGATTTGATAGGTACCTACTTTAAAATAATAAATATTCGGCTTTTTTATTTATTGTGCCTATAAGAATGGGTAATAATTGTTAATATGCCGGTGTATAAACTATTATTTATACCTTATTCACTATTCGCTGATCACTATAACTGTACGGTTTACATAATAATAAATCCTTATAAATGATGATAATATGTAACAAGTCAATTAACGTGTTGCTGTTGCAAACTTAAGGTAGGTTCTCGCCTTCATTTGGATGAAAATGCGTTTTAATTTTTTTATAGTGTCTATAAAATGTTTTTACTGAACAATTTCAATTAGAATATATTTTAATATTTACGATTAGAACAGTAAAAAAAATTACACAAATATTGTACGAAAACGCTTCAATTCCATTTTATTTATTCTTCAATACTATATTATTATGTACCTAAGACCTAGGTGACTATTATGATGTGGTTATAAAATAGTAGAATCAAATATTTTATAATAAAGCGTCCAATTGTTTAATAATATTACACTTTTCAGTGTAGACCATAGACTTATAGAACGTAAGACGTACCTAAGCGTAGGTGCCATTATAGTTTCAAGATTGAAGCATAACGTTGTACCTACATATTCTCTGTGTTAAAAACGTAGTTATCACAATAATTGTTTTTCAAATGTTTTCATTCAAATATAAAAATTAAGAAAAGGATTTATATATACATATTTTAAATAGTATGCACCATGAGATAATAATTCTGCATTACGGTCCGTTAATTAAGGGTTGAGGTTGAGTTTGAGGAACTCAGCTCATAATACTCATTCAATTCAAAAATCAGTGGGTGGATATTCGTCTGTATTATAACTGCATCAGTCGCCTCCATATCACATACAATTTACAAGTTGCTACTACGGTATAATACTGCAAAGTTTAATCCTTACTAGAATATGATCTAATAGGTTTAATTATACTTATAATAATGAAATACATTGATCAAATATAACAATTGAGGGGAGCCCTTATCACCTTCGAGTACATCGCTGCATCATTGATAATTAAACCTATTACGTCAATATACAAATAAAGTGACGTACCTATAACTTTAACAGGCGGCGGCCAAGACAGTGAAACAAATGCTTGATAAAAAATACGGTCCTCAGTGGAACGCGGTGGTCGGAGAAGCGTTCGGCATTCAAATAACGCACCAGACCAATACGTTGATGTATATGTTTTTCGGAGGCAACCTCGGCATTTGTGCCTGGAAAATCTAACTCGTCAATAACGAGACGAAAAGTTGTTTCAAAACACAATAGAATAGAATATTATTTAATTATTATACAAGTATACAACAATTATATCGTGTATTATATCATATTATTAAATGTTGATTATATTGGATATGTTACAATATCAACAACCCCTCAGCAAAGTAAATATGAATAATTAGATATTATAAGATATAAAGATGATTTTGAAAAAGTTATCGATTGCAACTCGCAAGTGGTCGCAATCATAAAAATTGCACGTATACAATTTATTTAAATATTGTACTTGAGTGGAAATTGTTGGTACCTACTTTGTCATTAAAATAAATTCATAATACAAAAATTTTCGTTTTTATTTCATTCGGTAGGGCTTTATCTATACCACACATGCAGGCAGACCCGGCGCAAGGCTAAATGACGCCTCAGGCCAAAATGCCAACTGGCGCCTTTTTCATACAACCCATAATATTACAATATTCGGAAAAAATGTTATTCATGGACAGAAATACGGAAAAATGATATACGTATAATGCTTAACTTGTACAATATTTGTCATCGTCTTAATTAAAAAAAAATAACATATTATGACGAAATATAATGTAATAGGTATAATATTCACATATAAATATAAAATACCTACATACTACTAAAAAAAAAAATTATACAGAAATTAATAATAAATGGAAATAGAGTGAACAATAAAACATAACATAAATAAAACATTTATTTAAATTTGTTATCGATCAACACCTTTCTTGATTTTCTCTCGGCAAAACTCCGTATAATTGTAGAAAAATCAATTTCCGCAGCTATTTCGTTTTCTATAGATAAAACCGATAGTGAGATTAAACGTTCATTAGCCATAGTAGATCGCAAGTATGTTTTTATGAGTTTTAATTTTGAGAAACTACGCTAACCACTAGCTACTGTCACTGGTAACGTCAATAATAATCTTAAAGCAATCCAAAGATTTGGAAATATGTCTTGGAGTTCACAAAAATGTATTGAAGAATATTAAGAGGTGAACTTACGTCCAAACAAGAAATTAACAATGGCTTGATGTTCACAATCTCTGTGCATAATTCGACACCATCAATATCAGAGTCAGATCCATCTTTAAGGTGATTGTGTAGATCCATACAATGTTTCAATAATTCGTTTTCATTTTCAGGTGCATTTTTTAAGTCGTACAAAAAATTCCATAAATCAACATGGATCTTTAAAATTTCAAAACGATCTGTCAATGATGTAGTAACAACGTCCATTAACGTGTAAAAAAATTCATGTTTAAATTTTTCGACTGCAGTTCTATGATCAGTATCATCTGAACGCTCATAATCAAAGTTTTTTTTTTTTATACGCTCCCGAACTACTTTTATTTCAGAATCCACTCCTAGTTCATCTGCTATTGCTTTTGCTTTGACCAAAATCTGATCAAATTGATCTCTATAGTTCTTAATAAACTCTAAAGCACTTTTTAACATATTAGAACCATTTATTAAGTCCATTGATTTTGCTTGCATACTTTTACTGACTAGATTCACTTGAAAAAGAATATCGTACCAAACAACTAATGATATTAGAAACTTAAAATCTGTAAGTTGATCAGCAAGCGAAACAGCTTCATGGCGCGTTCCAGCATCTATGTTTTCAACTTCGGATAGTTTAATAAGCGCATTGTAAATTTGTTCAGTTTGAAAGCGAACAACTTTTACGCTGTTGATTCTACTTTTCCATCTTGTGTCACTCAGAGGTTTCACGGTCAGCCCTTTTATATTGTCGGTTAAAATTTTCCATCGATTTACCGACGATGAAAACAAAACATAAATTCTTTGGAGTACGTCGAAAACTGTAATTGAATTTATAGAATAAGATGCAGCATCTGATACAACTAAATTTAAAGAATGGCAATAACGAAGGCGACGCGACGTAGTCACGAGTCACAACGGCTCGACGCGATCCCGATTAAACGATAACAAATATTCAGGAATTTTTATATTTATAGAACAATATATTTTAAGATAAACATTTTACGTTAGTACGCTAAACAGAATAACCATAATAATAATTATCTAAATTTCAGTACAAAATTTTAGGTAGGTATTTTATATTTAATAAAAAAAATTACTGACAAAAGTGTGCAAAATTGTAAAAAAACAATTTCGGCGCCCCCCTGAAAATGGCGCCCTAGGCGACCGCCTGAGTCGCCTTACCCTCGCGCCGGGCCTGCATGCAGGGCCGGCTCTTGGGTAGGTCAACTGGGACATTTGTCCTGGGCCCCCCGCTTACGTCATGAAAACTAGATGGTAATTGGTAGCTAATATGTAGTTATGTTGAAAAAAAATAATTCATAGAGTTTAAGTTATAATATGTTTTGGAGAGAAATAGTATTTATTGAATTTTGTACAAATGCATATTGCATGATAATAATATTTATAAATAGCGTTATGAACGTATCACTTATGGTATTAATAATAGTGCTAATAATACCAGCTATTCGACGATCGATATAAGTATCTATATAAGTATCTATATAAGTATAATAAGTATCTTATCGCATCAGAGCGCTGATGTACGCTAAATAATACGCACTTAATCAATTAGTGGATTATTTCGTTTTATTTTTATTTGTTGTACATATATTTTGAAGACAATACGACCCGGTGTGGTTGATATTATAATTTCACTTTTAAATTGTATTCAGAGTTCATACATCAAAGGACCAACACGAAGGAAAAGAAGCTTACGATTTGTATATTTTATATAAAGGTATGAATAACATTTTTAATAATAGATAGTTGTTAAGTTTTCGATTTTTAAGTGTTATTAGTCAACTTTCGTTCAATAAATTGATTTTATTCTTTCTAAAATTCGGATCAAATCGCATACGTAGAAATGTAGAATGTACTATTGCACCGCGGCTGTATTGTTTGTTATTGTTTGTAATTTTATTTAGGTACCTCCACATCCGTTCGGCGGTAATATTGAATTATTTATAATGTAGCCGTATATAATCTATATTATAAATTATAATATATTAAAGACAACAATTATTATTATTATTATTTTTTTTTTATTAAAGAAGAAGGCCTCGATGACGGGATCATTAGCCTGTTTTACATAGGTACTAAACTTAAACTAAATTATAAACAATTATAAACAATTATTATTATTTTCTGATTGAACATTGTTATGACTTATGGACATGGTTATCGTTCAAACTTCAGATTATACAGTTGGAAAATAGTAGAACATAGGTATATAGAATAACGTGTAAACGTATTATAAAAAGTAGTATTCTTAGTAGTATTGTTGATTACCGTCTCAGGATGATGATATTATGCATTACGCACCGTTAAGAAGTATACTACAATTAAGTTCTTCATATTTAGATAATACTCCAAATATTATATTAAACGATGACATTGAAATTACTGAAAACCCAAAACAATTAAGTTCATCATATTTAGATAACACTCCAAGTATTATATTAAATGATGATATAGAAATTAATGAAAATCCAAAACAATCAAGTTATTTATATTTAGAAAACACTCCAAATATTTTCAATATTGATGAAAATTCAACTGAAAACTATATTTTAAAAAGTAACAATAAGTTTATAGGAAAAAATGTTATTGGTAATGATGATTGCTTAAAAAATCAATCACATATATGGAGTGACCCTGGAAACTGGCCTAGCCATATAGACAGTCAAATAAGATATTATGATATAATTAAGTTAGGACCAATACGCTTAGTGGATTATGAATTTCCAAATACTCTTCAAAATGATGGCTCTAAACGAAAATTTACCAAAAACTTGTATACAAGAAATTTAATAAATGGTGAAAAAACTGATAGAGTTTGGCTTGTTTATTCGATTACGAAAAACTGCGTGTTTTGTTATAGTTGTAAGCTTTTCTCTTCTGAAAACCTCCACCTAAACCATCTAAGTACTATCGGAACAAACGACTGGAAACACTTGCCTGAGAAACATATAACTCATGAGCGTTCTGTTCAGCATTTTAAATCTATTGAAGCCTGGACAGAATTTAAAAAAAGAATTTTGAAAGAAAAATGTATTAATCAACAACATTTATCTATTATTGAGAAGGAGAAAATTCATTGGACAAATGTACTGAACAGAATTTTATCAGTCATTCATTATTTAGCTGCTCATAATGATGCATTTCGAGGTTCATCAGATGTACTTTATACTAAAAGTAATGGGAAATTTCTTGGCTTAATAGAAATGCTGGCGAAATTCGATCCAGTAATAATGGAACACGTTAACAGAATTAAAAATAAAGAAACACATGTCCATTATCTAGGTCATAGAATACAAGACGAAATTATTAATATGATGGCCAATGAAATCAAGCAAAAAATAATAAGAAACATACAGTCTGCTAAGTATTTTACGATTATAATGGATTGCACTCCAGATATTGAACACAGCGAGCAACTTGCTATTCTTTTGCGAATAGTACACATGGACGAAGAAAACGAATACAATACACCTACTATACAGGAATATTTCTTAGATTTTATAAAGGTCGATTCTACAACTGGCTTAAATTTATCTGACGTTCTGATGAAACAACTTAAACTATATAAAATAAACATTGAAAATTGTCGAGGTCAGGCCTACGATAACGGATCGAACATGACAGGAAGATATCAAGGAGTTCAAACCCGAATCTTAAATATAAATCCACGAGCATTTTTCACTCCTTGCGCTGCCCATAATTTAAACTTAGTCCTGTGTGATGCTGCCAAAAATTCAACTATAGCCATTACATTTTTTGGTATAGTTCGACGTGTTTATACTTTATTTTCTGCATCAACATGTCGCTGGAGTATTATTCAAAAACATTGTACAGTGTTCACGGTTAAACAATGGTCAGAGACGAGGTGGGAGAGCCGTATAGTGTGAAAGCTTTGAATATGTATCGTACCTACCTACTTATATTTTTTAGAAAGAAGTGATTATGTTTAATTACGAGGAAAAAATATAAAAACTATAATTATCAATCACAAATAGATAATTTACATACAAGTATTATACATGTATAATTTTTAAACTCTGATCACTTTATTACCAGAAGCAAAAAAAATTTTCGATGTCCATTCAACGACTAACGAACCACTAATGAAAAATGGAAATCAGTTTTAACAACTTGATTTAGCTGCTGCTGAAGTATTACATTCTATTTTTAACATATTATTTCAGTTAGATAAGAAATAATAGTAATAAAAACAAAAAACAGATTTAATGTCAACAAACAACTGCAAATATTATAATTGATAAAATTAATTTATCATATTTATCTACGTTCTACGTTCTACAACACATCATATTGGTTATTTGAAATGTATCATTCAACATATTTACTTATAAAACTTAAGTTTTTTATCAATAACATTAAACCATGAAGGATTATAAAAATCACCTAATCAATCTAAAGATGTAGGTATATTAGAAAGTTACACAATATTGATAATAATACCTAATAATATGATAAGTAGTTGAGGTAACTTAAACTTACAAAAAATTAAAATTTATAATTATTAATTGTAATAAAAATAAATACATTTATATGATCGAAAATTAACGAATTATCAAAATGTTAGCTAGTTTAAATAATGTGTAAAAATATAAACAACATTATTTACTTTATTAAAAAAATTATAGGTAAGTAACATTTTCAAAATAAATTCGATAAAAAACTTACAAAGGATTAAATCACTTTTAAAATTGCAATTATTATTGGGATACTTTTGTATATAAAATGAATACATAATAATATGTAGTTATTAAATTCTAATCAATTCACAATTAATGTACACCAATGTAAAAGTTAAACACTAAATTATATTTAACATAAGCAATGCAGCATTAGTTGAAAAATGTATGGTCTATCAATCAAAAAATACTATGTTTAAAAAAATTACAACTTCTCATATTTTCGTATACATAAGATACATTATTTTTAAATACATAATATATATCTGCAAATCAATATAACAATAGTATATCAATGCATTATTAATGTAATAAAATAAGTTAGTAACAAATGTGATATATTTTTTAATGTAAAACCATACACTGTTCAAAATGAAAATGCATTATTTATCCATTTCCATTCAAAATTATTACAATATAATGATAATTTGAACATAATTTTTATTTTAATAGTAAAATTTTGACGATAAAATAAAGGTACAGACAACATAATACGTACCGATAGTTCTCAACCACAGGGTCACTAAATAATTCTGGGACGAGAATAATTTTGGATGGGTCAACCCAAAAAAAGTTATGTTATGTTATGTTATTAATAATGCTAATCTCTGGACTCCAATAAATGAAGATAGAGAACTACTATTATTATTTTTTTTATGAGCATACATATATTAAAAAATGTTTGTGTGTATTACATAACTATTTTAGGAATTTTTCATTGCCTCTTAATGTAGTTATGTTCTAGTTCACAGCATTAAGTTGTTTATTATGAAACTGATATAAGTATTAAATCCACAGAGTAGACATTAATTTGATTTTGCTGCATTGCTATAGATAAATCTTTACCATTGATATAACTTACTGTAAAAAAACTAATAGTTTTATATCAAGTTTGCACAAAAACATTAAGTTGATGAATTTCTGATGTAAAGTACCAATGGATTTTAATACATACATACAAAATACAGTTGTACAAAATAATTTAATTAAAAAATAATTATTATAAAAGTGGGCAAGTTGTTTTCTAATAATATATTTATTAAACGTTTGTCATTTAAAAATTTGACATTACATGTATAGCGAATAATTATTTAATCTAGATTGATATAATAACATCGAACTGTAGAAGCGAAAATATTTTATGAAATTATGTATAATTAGATGGATTATTTTATTTTGGCACTTAGCTAAAAACAAAAAAATATCAGTACAACTGATAAAGTCTCTTGGTTATATTATAGAGCATGGACAATTGGAATGTACCAGTTTTGATAAAGGTTTGGATATTTGCAAAATATCATACATTAATGGACATTAGTGTACATATTATCACTAAAATATCATGATGTATTTAATTGTTTTCTGGCGAATCCCATTTTAAATGTACTTGAGGTGTTAAATTAACGATTTCCACATGCACGGCTTGGCACTTTTCTAGTTTTGGAGGAATAGGGCATAAGCGATAATGTACTTGATCACCAGGCAACGGAACAAACTCTCCTTCAATACTATATAAAAAAAAAAAATGCCATTAGTCATAAAACTGAGTAAATATAATAATCATAACATTGTGTCTTACTCTGATATATGTACAAACACGTCTGGATCACCATTGTCGGGAGTGATGAAGCCGTGTCCTTTAGATTTGCAAAAGTATTTGACCTTTCCAGATATCTGAGGATTCTTGAGAGCTAGAGCAGACCTAAAAGTAACAATGAAAATCCAAAATTAATGGTAAATAATAACACTTGCATGGAAACCTTTAGACGAATGACTTAAGCGTTGCTTAGACGAAAGAGTGCATTTCACCAGCCGAACGATCAGGGACAGGCAAAGTCCACCACCTTCGTAAATTAATGTCAGAGGCAATGACGCGTTAAAACTAATTGTAATATTCTACTCACGTTGAATCGGTCCTCGTTCGTCTAGTCACTATCGGGCTCGGGGCGAGCATTCCAATCTTGGTCGGCGAAAGGTGACTGGCAAACTTCAAAGCTTCCTGTTCACATCCGTTTGAGAATGAATCGCTCATGGCGCTCACGTTTGGTCGTAGTCCGTAGATAATTGGACACGATGTACCGGTGTATGGTGCGAACGATATACTACGTCTAGACGATAAACAATTATTATTGACGATAAATACTATTCTTTAGGTCGTGCGAGGGATAGAGGAACTAGTCTGAAAATGAAGTCGATCGTCACACGGCGGTTATTCGTTTATTGTTCTAACTTAGTGTTCTTACTTGTAACTTGTTAAATTGTAAGCGTTTCGGTAACCTGATGATAAACACTTAACGTGGTTATAACTCGAAATAATAATATTGTTATATTACGTGCTATTACGATTATTGTGATTATTTTTTTTTTTATTGATAAGTAAAAACGAAGTCTCGCGTTTCAGTAGTGCCAACGTAAGCAACAACTAAAAGGCTAAAAATATTGTATCGTGCTAACGACATAACGTCCAGGGATGGGGTCAGTTGGGTCCCCGAGATAAGAGTTGGGTCCCTTGATAAGAAATTATAGCTGATAAGCTATATATATATATATACCGCGAGATCATTAAAAATACCTAATACCTATTATTGGCTATAAAATTAATTCTAGTGTGTCATCCAATACCGATAATAGTGTTATGCATCGTTGTATTTTTATGAAAAATTTTTTATTCATTTCAGCGTTTGATCTGAATTGCAAATCACAATATTTTAATTTATAGCAAATAATATCTACCTATTTGGTAATTATTTAGTACCTTGGTACCCACCTATAAACCTATTGGATATTAGGTATAATATTAATTGCGTTTTACGCATTTTCCATGCCGCATGCGCACATCTACGTGTTAATAATTACGTATTAGGTCGACGTGTATAATAGTACAGATTATTATATTATTTTTGTGCCTTTGTGAAGGGGTTATTAGGGTGGGTGGGGGGGGGATCAAGGGGGCACTGGACAATTTAGTACAAGGTTCTTACATCTAATTCTTAACTACAAAACAATTTGCAGCAAATATTATATTGTTGGTTTTTGTCAAAATTTGAACTTCAAACGTTTATAAAAATGAATGAATTATAGGTAAGTATTATTTGATATTTTTAAACTGAACAAATTTTCAGGGATTTTGTAAAAATTATTCAAGATTTTTAGCTGAGCATACCTAACATTTTTTTATCAATATTTACAGGCTATAGTAAAAAAGGTGCAAAGTAAGTACCTAACTGCTCTGTTTCACAGTAACTAGTAAGGACATTGAGACATTGAGTATATAGGTCACAATAATGGATGTGTTAAATATGGATTCAATGATAAATCATTGCATACAAAAAAAATTCAATAACAGATGTACAAGCGGTATAAACTAAAAACAGGCAATGGGCGATAAAGCCATACAATTAATTTAAATGTTTTTAAAAAATGTCATTATTGTGTACATAAAATAAAGAATAATGTACCTACGTAAAAGTTTCAAATAACCGCGAAAAATATTTTTGAATTAGGTACAATAAAATAATTAAAATTGTTATAATTTTATTTCGTTAATAATAATGTCTACAAAAAAGTCGAGTTTATACATTTTTATATTTTTTGGATCAAGAATAAACTACTTTTAAGGAAGTTTGTATAATATTTTCAAACTTTTTGACCGAATTAAAAATTTTGAATTACAAAAAATAAGAAAATAGATTTTGTCAAAATCTAGATATGCTTAAAAATATAAATTCAGGTTTTCCCTATTTTTTTTTGTCCTTAGAATTTTTACTTTCTACCCCCAAAAGTTATCAACTAGAATCTAGATTTACTTTCTTATCAGAAAATATGCTTAAGTTGGAAATTAAAGCATTTTTCTACTTTTAAAAGTGTCTATAATACTGCAGACACAAAAAACACATTATTTTTTTTTTTATTTATTCTTCAAGAAGATAATGGGCCCCACTGAATATGTTCTTGTGGGGGCTGATTATAAAACCAATACTTCACTCAGAATCTAAAATGTTTAGGAAAAAAAATCAATCATTTGTATCAGTGACAGGTGTAATTTTCAAAATACGGACCATCCATAAAGTGCCAGAATAAAGTTCACCGTGTAACCTGCCTTAAATTTATAATACACTCTTCATCAAATAGTAAATGACTGACCGTTACTCCAACTGGCTGATCAGCCCGCTACGCAGCGAGCTGTAAGCTTGTAATGATTAGTGAGAGGGTAGACTCTTTATAACTAATGGGCGGATTACAAGAGTGTCATAATCATAATTATTAATATATATTATAAATAATATCATATTGAATTTACAGCCATACAGATGTTTAAATTCTTATATAGTCATAAAAACATCTGTGATTGTAATATTATATTGGTATGTCCTTATCTAAATAAACTGTTCTACTTCTGCCAACTCGGAAGACATCCATCGACTACAGACCGATCCCGAAAACCATACTCTCTATGCTTATTATGACCACGGCTGTTGTCATTCTTAACGAACTATGCGTATAACATATACATTCAGTATATTAATAATTTGTGTCTTTAAATAATAAATTTACTATTTCAAATATTTCTGATGTTAATTGTATGCTAGAATAATATTAAATTACCTATAAATAAATCAATAGGTATTAAACCTAGCTATTTCTTCTTCCTTTATTCATCGACTATATGACAAACCTGCAGTTGAATTAGAGTAAATCATCAGTGGCGCCGAACATTATATTGTACCTAGTTCAATCGAACTGCCTTAAAAGTTGGGTAAATAAAACAATAGAGTATCTATACCTACAAGTCCTAGTCTTGCTGCTATAATTTTATTAAACATAAGAATGTCATTAAATTATTTATATAAAATTAGTTGAGTCCGATTCTCAGTCATTTGAAGTGGCGGGTGGGTTAATCAACTTTTGCCAGTTTTAATTTCATTTGACGCCACTGGGGTAAGTTAATTTATTGTTCAGTTAAATACTTTATACGTACTAACATGAGGGTGCATATGTATATATATATTTGAGTAAGTAGTGAACTAGAGTGTATACTTAATATACATAATACAATATTTATGATTAGAAAGGTAAATACTTATTATTATATATTACGAATACTTACATCATATTATTTTTACATTAGGTACTACAGTGGCGCAAAACTCGTGGAATTTAACACGCAACAAAAAACAAATAAATATTAATTAATGTATATGAAAGAATCGAATTATATCTGCTCAAATGACAAATGATCAACACAACTACAGACTCAGATAAACTTAATGATAATTTAAAGACAAATACAACAACACTCCTTTTAAAAGACATCAATAAATTACTAAAACCGCAATTATATTACTGAACTTAACAAATCAAACATAACCACGGACCCGGTTCCTGAATTAAAAAATTCAGACTATCATAATATTTTAATGGGTACAAAACTAAACGATTTATCAATACATTTAACTCTAGCAGAATGAACAACACATACAAAAATAATTTTATAAACCTATTACATTTGTAATATGGTAACATTTGGTTTAATTTTGAAAAAATTCAATAGAGAATCTAGCATAAATGGGTGGTCTGATGAAGAAATAATTGAATGTTTACCTTTATATTTTGAAGGTACTTTAACTCTGTATGATAACAATGAATCAAATTTAATTAACGAGACAAAACTTAAAATCAAATAGGTACTATTATACATATAAAGGGTTTATGGGTAGTAATACTCTTAGGTAACTAAAAGACAATGTAATAAAATATGAATAAATCGAAATAATGGTAACATAACAGCTAGAAGAAACGACTTAGTGTCAAGTGGATATAAAAAAATGCAATTGTGTAAAACCAAATAAATTAAATTAAGGAAAAATTCAATGAACAGTTAAAAATTGCCAATGAAAAGAATGAACATTTTTTTACACCAATATATATTGCCAATATAGACTTCATAAATATAACTTTAACATTGCATAAAGATAATAATATTAACAAAACTAATAATGCTATTATAGAAATACAAACTGTGAAACTCATAACATTTATAATCGAAACAATGTGCATAATATTAAAGAATACGTATAACAAATAATTAGAAAACAAAAGAACACCAAAAGGTTATTTTTAATACACAATATTAATATAGTTATAAATTTATAACATATACCATTGTAATAAAATAATTCAAAATCTTAACAACTTAAAGATAATTTTAATAATAAAACAAAATTATGTGTAACCTTAAAATTAATGAAAACATCAATAATGATACCAATGAAATTAATAAATTAGAATATATATTTTATAACAATTATAATACAACCAAAAATGTCAACGATAATAATGAAAACAAAACAATAATATTTTGTTCCTTTAAATAATAAATGTATTCTTTCATATATTTCTGATAAATTAATTCTGTTTTTGACTAACATAAAATTATAAATATATAAAAATTAAACCTATTAAATTTCTTCTTCCTTCGTTCATCGAATATAATAATATGACTCGTAACTCCTGGCCTAAAGATTTTTACAAATAATTATGTAGGTATACCTACATTTAAATGAATAACAACTCGATTCGGAATGGACAACTTTTAAATACTTGCATTGTATTACATGTAGTTCTTAAATTGTACACTTCAGTTTAGTGGATAGAACCAATGTTTTACAACTATAGTTGAGCGATCACACGATTAAAGTTGGTGTGCAATGTACATGAATACAGAATTTTTTGTTTAACGATTGGGATGGCTAAGTCGAACGTATCAATGTAGGTACAATAAGTACTTATCAAAATAATGAAATAATAGATTATTTGTAACTCGATCATAAGAGGAATAAAATACATATTGTAGGTTGTTTTATAATTGGAGATATTATATAAGCTGTTGATGTTAAATGTACTTACAAGTGTAACTTGAAGTTTAAGACAGAACGATACAATTATAATTAGTTATCGAAAATGTATTATGTATTCAACTGTTATAATGTCTGAAGACTTCATAATAGTTCTATTAAAATATAATACTTATATCTTATCGAGTTCTATAAACTAATTTAAAATTAGTGTGCATTGAAGTGAGCCGATTATACATTAATAACTTCTGTGATTTTCTTGACATTATTGTTTTCTTCATTTTTTTTTTTTTGTTTAAGTACCTAAGATATCTATTTAACATTGTTTGGAGTTCCCTCTCCCTACAAACGTTTTTACATGTATAAATATTTTCAATAATTTATTACATGCATTTATTTACAATTAATTGTTAACGACTGCAATTATGCTAATATTCGTCAAGTCTTAATTACTTAAATAAAGTATAATAAACCAGTGAGTATTAGTTTTTTAAAAATTAATTGTGTTATTCTAGTTTACTAACGACTTTAAGAATCACGAATGGGCTGGTATATATCTACAAAAATTTACCCTATGACTGAATTGTGGTGTAATTTAATTTTGATGTTAATCTTTTTTTTTTATAAACGAATTTGTAATTTAATTCATTATGAACCGTATTTTTGCTAACCATAATTATGGCTATCAATTCCATAACCGTTGACAACAGACATTTCAATGAGGCTTAGGTATTGGTCACTTGACATTTTGAAAATATTTAATTTAGAATTCATATTATAAATCATACCTATATCTAATATTTGTTGGGGCTCAACTCTTCAGAGTCGATTCGATTAGGTGCACGGAATATATTCTTAAATTTGATTTTTAAAATATAATATTTTATCATTATGATATTCAATGTTAAGTCAGAATCACGATGCATTTGCTAAGCGAGTAGACACGAATCAACTATTTTTAAATACTTATTATAAACCAATATAATTACACTATGTACACTGCGTGTGTGCAGACACATAGAGTTTTATGCTAAGCTGTTAAAGTATATTTATATTAGGTTTCAGTGTATGTGCTTTATTTTTTTGCTTTCATTTTGAAGTTATATTATAGGCATCTATCTACTTGTATAAACTAATTTACATACATTGTTAATTTTAAAGTAATTTAATAATGACAGAACAATAATTCTATCATATAAATATGCTATTATTAATTATTATTATTACGAAGACTAGTTACGTTATCGATACTTCATACGCTGGGGAAGTCTTTTAGATTTATTTAGAGGCTGGTGGAAATATGATTCTTTCAGTCGTTTGAGATGTTAAAATAATTAAAAAAAACTAAAGGCTTTACACAAAATGTTCAGTAGTTGTGTTGCACAAACTTTACTAAATCCGAGTAATCCGACTAGGTTAAAGGTCTAATACGTGATGATATAATTTAATTATGTGCGTACAAAATATTATAATAATAACAACTAAGAAGGTATTATTTTATATACTATTAAAAATAATTAATAATAACGTTATTAGAATTGTATGTTAATAACCCGACCTCAGTGAAAAATCCACTTCTCTGTATCGCATACTTTGTTTTTGTTAATTTATAATAGGTGTTTGAAATGGTTAGGTACTGTCATGGGCACCTTCTGTATATGATTGTTTGGGATTTTTCCTAAATTTTCCCAATAAATCACAACACGGTTCTGCGTCAATTATATTTTTATATATGTACTGCATAATAATATAATAATACATTATAGTATTTATCTACATTAACATATTGCAATAATTTATAAAATAGGTCGTGTTCTATAAATTATAAAATAGGTCGAATTCTATAAATTATAAAATAGGCCGTATTCTATGAATTATAAAATAGGTAGTATTCATATATATTATTACATAAATAACTTTGGAAATTATGATTTTTCAATCAGCTGGTTGTTATTTATATTTTACTCTAATATTTCTTACAGATTACCATAATTCAGACTTTAAGACTTTAAGCATTTACATGAAATTTAATAGGTAGAGTATTCTATTATTCTATTATAATACAATAGTTGTATTTCAACATAGTATACAACAGTGAACAGTACATAATTATTTTTCGACTATGCCATTTTTAGTATAACACTATATGTCTATATTATAATAAGTATAGCATACTTTTAGGTAGGGCATAGTTTTTATGATAAACATTCAATGATCAAACATATATTTTAGATACCTACCAAGCAAAATGATTCTTTTTCAAATAATTTTTTCTTTATTATTGCAGTTATTCAAAAAGTGATTTTTTGGAATTTTAAATATATTTTGAAACCATATTTTAAAATGATTGAGATTGTTTGTACTACTTTTGTTGTGTGTGTGTGTGGGGGGTTAACTATTTGCAGTACAAACATTATAAAAATTGAGAAACTACTGATTATTAGTTATAAGTACATCAAAATGCATAAAAAACCCAGTAGCGCGCTACTCCATGTTTTTCCTCTAAAAGGGAAATCTATGAGTCATAAATATATTTTTGTTAATAAGTAACCATGGAAACTGACTAACCGTATGAAATTTGGAGTCGCTGGTTAGAAAAAAGTTTGTATCTATACCAAGAAGTGCAAAAACATACATAATTTATGTTAAAATTATCCACTAAATAACATACTGTAAAATAGGTGGGTTCTCCTAGTATCTAGAACAAAAAATTCTCAATAATTTGAAATATTGTCTTAAATATTTAAAAATTGTAAAAATCATAATTTGATTAAATTCATTATCGAAGGAAAGAGTGAAGATGAGCATGTTTAATGACACACACTGCTATAATCTGTATATAGTAGTTTAATAGATAACGAAACCTCGTGTTTTTTATGTTCACTATTATCACCTGTCATCAGTGTCAGCATATCACCAGTCACCACGCATATACATAATAATATGTATTTTTTTAAATCTTATACATTAATCTCCTACAGCTTAAAATATACTTAATAACGATTAATAACGTCTTATAATTTAATTCTCACTGATCTTTAAGCACTCGTTTAGAATAGGTAGGTACTATTAGTTGATTTATCCAGAAAGCCAATGTTTGTCAATAATCGAATGTTAAATATGAAATTTAAAAGATTTTTATACGTAGGTAGTAGGTACCTACAATATAATATATAGGCATATAGTTTAAATAATGTATAACGTTTTGTAATGTATTTTGGTCGTTCTGTAACTGAAATATGTTTAGAAATATTGGATTGTCCGAAAAAGTGTTGATTCAGTAGCTAATTGTTCAGTCTTTAGTACGCAAATATAAAATATAATAAATATAGATTCATTTACGACGGTAGATTAACTTGTGGGTACATGTAACAATATGCTTTATATATGCCTACACGACTGGTTGTAACTTATATTATTACGATTTTTACTAAACAAATACAATATTATGTACCTACTTAAGTATACAGTTTATGTTTCAGTATTCTCTGAGTTAATAGAAATATTATTTTTAGTATTTTACAGATAAAAATAAAACAGACCGATAACATATTGTGTGAAAACTGAAAATTGTACATTCCACCATTCCGGTCATTCCAGATGTTACAATATCTTTGAGTTTGTACTTATGGCCAAAAATATCGGCCATTCCATATGCAGTAGTAGAATATTATACATTGGTTAATGGTTTAGTTGTATTACAACATAAAACGGACACGGTTGTGTCGAAACGTGAGATTTACTTTATTCCTTCGAAACGTATATCGTGAGTTTGTGTACTATATTATGTATAATAATATTATATAATAGTGAATAGTATTTAATGCAATGAATTTAGATCACCGTGAAACTAAAATATGTCCATATTTTAATAATATCAATTTGGCAGTAATATTTGCCAATGTTAACATTTACAAGATATAATATGTAACGTATTTTAGGTGCTGAAAGTATTTGCGAAGTTGGAGATTCAAAATGGGTATGTATGACACTTTATTGCACCTACCTACTAATTATTTATCGTTGTTCATCAACGAGAAAATATTACTTATGTTCGTGAGGTCTTAGGTAGATACCTACTGTTAATTGTAAAAACATTTAAAACAACTGTTGTCTTATTTACACACCTAAATGTTATTCATGGGTAGACAGTGGCGTACTTAAGTGTCAGTGTACATTTTTGTATGAAGTACGATAATCGTATTTACTTAGCAATGTTTTCTGATTAACGTCAAGTTCTCACAATCTCCCGTCTACTCGTATTCGTACATAATATATCTAATCAGTTTAATCATTAAACATTGCCATACTGCAGTCTTGTATTTCAGTATAAAATACTAAAATGTAAATTATTTTTTTTTATATAACATAGTTCTAGACAGAAATATATTTTTAATACAGATAAATTATTATTAGATATATATAGTACGAGTTGTGTCTTAAAACTATAATTCAATTAATGTACAGGCGTACAATAATAAGCGCAGTGATATATAAGTTTCGTGCAATTTTATTTTGATTTCGATTACATCAAATGGTTTATATTAATTTGATTATGTAAAAGGTATCTACACATACTTAGAATTTTAATTTTACGGTGCTTAGTGGTATTATAGAAAAATATTTTAGAGGACAGTAACAAAAATTACAACATACCCC